TTTCCGTTAAAAACAATTTTTGATTATTAAGACATTGTTTTTATAGCAATCTGTTTCTATGAACTAAACCCCGCGTAAACGTTATCTTTAAATATATTTTAAAAAATAATTTAAAAAAAAGATAAATAGCTCTCACTTTTTTATTATATCTGTAGTATTTATTGAAATCTTAATGTTATACTGACATATCAAATTTTACCTTCCCCATCATCCCACATATTAAATATGAAGGATTCACTTTCTTTTCAAGTTCGAAATGTACCGATTCACCTTGGCCTACTACAAGGCAATGTTTTGCTCATAACAAAGTAATTGTTTTCAAATATTATAGCATTGGTTTATGTGATAACGAATCATGAGATGTTGTTTTACATATCAATACAGAAACTTCTGGAGATGTTCAAGCAGGTGGGTCATAAAATATTTAGTCAAAAACCACTCTATTCTACAGTACTCTGACGTTGATATTAAAAGGATGCTGGAGTTCCTCATAAACAACATTTATGTAGTTTTTGGAGACCAGGTATTCCAAAAAACAGTTGGAATTTTGATTAGCACTATCTGTGCTCCTTTTTAGCAATAAAAATTAGCAAGTATGTTACACAGGTTAATTACATCAAAAAGAAAGATAACTCTTGCAATGCAAATTAACTCTACCTGTCGCATTTTATTCGAAATTTATCGTTGGAAAAACTAAATTACCTTATTTAGAAAATACGTGTATCTCTCAAAAACAGATTTAATTGAATGCTTGTCGATTCAGTAAAAAATTGGGTTGGGCTTTTTAAGTTTTCAATTCAGCCCAATACATCTTAATTCATATTTATTCTGCATCTTTATTCGCCAACATTATTTTCAAACTGTGTAAAATAGTTATGCAAATACTAGTAGATAAAATTTATCAGAATAACAAATAATTTCTTAAGCTCTGAAATGATTTTGAAACTGCCCATTTCTAACAAAAAAAAATACTATAGTTAACTATAGTTTACTTTAGTTAACTATAGTTAACTATAGTAAATCAAAGTTTCAAAGTGATCACTATAGCAAATCAAAGTTTTCAAAGTGATCTTTATAGTGTCATAGTTATCACTACAGTAAATCAAAGTGAACACTATAGTGTCATAGTTATCACTATAGTAAATCAAAGTGAACACTATAGTGTCATAGTTATCACTATAGTAAATCAAAGTTTTCAAAGTCATCACTATATATAGTAAATCTAAGTTATCACCATAGTAAATCAAAAGTTTTCATAGTGATTTCTATAGTAATTCAACGGTTTCATAGTTATCACTATAGTATCATAGTGATCACTATAGTTAATCAAAGTGTCGAAGTTATCACTACAGTAAATCAAAGTGTAAAAATTATCACTACAGTAAATCATAGTGTCGAAATTATCACTATAGTTAACTATAGTAAACTATAGTAAACTATAGTTAACTATAGTATTTTTTGTTAGGGTTAAACCAAAATGGATTTTATTTGATATATCGTCTTTTCACAACAGAATCATATGAATTGCGCCTATCGTTATTCACTAATTTTCACCAGAAACAAATTCATTTGAAATGCGTTGTATTACGTATTGCTTCTAAATAAATAAAAATATGTTTTGTTAAAAAGATAGATCCCGAGAAATTCTGTCAAATCATATGAAATGAAATTCACACAAGCAATGTCCTCTAAAATACCCTCTCCCTCCCCCCCCCCCCCCTCCTCTTCCCGTCCCCGCAGAAAAAAATCTCAAACAAACAAATTTATTTCATAACATCATTGATTTTTGTTTCAAGATTGTTGAAGCTCTTTTGGTGTCTTGTTCTAATAGTTTGTATACTTATTGGAATTGTGTATCTGGACTGTATGATACGATCTAAAAACTACTGGTTCTATTGTTTGTTTTTTTTTTAGCTTCAAATTTTTGTCCGTTAAACACATTCTTTATAACAGGGACGTATTTAATAAACGTCCCTAAATCTTTCGCATTGCTTTCACCGAGTGTTATTTTATAGCCAGTGTCGACTTCGAGTTCTCTCGCATCTCGATCAGTGATGCATCCCCTACGGCAAAACAATATGTAGCGCTCTATATGTAACTAGACATGCATATATTAATTAATCCTATGTTATTCTTAAAAAAAAATGAAAGTTTATATGTCAATAATATTAAAAACAACATATTTAAAAACAACAGGGGTAATTTCGACCAGATTTTAACGAACGTTTCTTGTGCTTTTTGAGAGAAATCCAGGATAAACTTGTAATTTCTGTAACTTAAAGATACTCCAAGAAAAATAAAACAATTTCAATTTAAATCGTTAAAAATTGATAAATATTAAAATTAAAAAGAGGCTGTAGGAGTTGTTTCTCTTGAATTTTCCCTATCAAATCAAAGCGCACAAAAGACAAGGACTTTAGCACAGGAAATTTATAAATTGTGGACAATTATTAAAAAAAAAACAGCTATTACGTCCTTCAGATGGATATGATTCTGAATCTGGTTGACCTTCCGTTTACATCTGGTTCCCAACAGTCAGACCATTCCAAGCAATTACACTGGAGTTACTCGCTGAAACTGTGCCAATTCCAATGGGGGAAAAAATTCTGTTACGTTTACGTGTACAAATAATTCAAGCAATATTCCTGTATTTGAATAAGAATTAATTTTAAATGAATAATTAATATGACTATTTTCAAATGCATTGTAATCAGATACTTTCATGAAAACATACTAAGTCCAGCAGATTCCAAATAAAAGGACACGTAAGCATGTACAATTCCAGGTTTTGTGTCTTCATTTTTTACATTCCAAACGAGCTTTGTATATTGTTTAGTTACTGTAAGCTTACAAAGCCTTGATATTACCATATCTGTACATGTAGCTTTTCTTTTAACAGCCATTGTCTTTTACATTACATACTCTCTTCATTACACTATCACACTTTCTGACGTATATATTCCTTGTCGAAAGTGCAATACATTTTCCTATTTTCTTTCCATTAAAGGAAGCTGGGAATGAAAAATATATCATGATACTTTTATTTTTACTCCTTTATATTTACCATCTACTCCTTTATCAATCAAACAAAAAAATCTATCCATTTCAATCTTGGTCATTTCCAAATGTTTAATTTGGAATTGTTGCAAGTTGAGTGCAACCTTAGTGGAAATGAATGTAGTTTAACATATTCAACATTTACTTCTTAGGATTAAAGATCTACACTACCTGAGGATGCTTCTGTATTAATATTAGTCATGGCTTTGCTGTTCTTGAGGATAAGATTTTTTAAAGCTATTTCCTATATACCCCTTTGTATAACTTTAAGAAAAGCTTCAGATGTAGTAGAAAGACCGCTGATATAATCCAGAAAAGACCAGGACGATTCTAAGAAATCAGAGTGGAGAAATTACCTTCCTCTCCACTTCACTTGGCTTTTTTATGCTGTTCCATTTTCAAGGATACGATCAGTATACAGGTGGAGATATTTATTTGTCCCCAGATCTAGGGTTACAGGCCAAGGAATAGAAATCCACTCAACGAGGGTGGTTTGCGTCCATAAGACATGTGATTAAAAAGGCAAAATAATCAAATTATCAAATAGCATAAACATTTATGATTGGGACAATTTTACCAATTGTTGAAATTTTGTCCAATATAAATAATATTGCTAAGATTGATGGAGGGGACAGTTGCTATTTTTAAAGGTTTAAAGAAAATTCAAAGCAATATGAGCTGCAACTTTGATGTTGCAAAATTGTAAATAACTATTTCAATGACATAAAAAAAGACGTTTATAAACTTCTGTTGTTCATATTTGCGATGGAAAAACTATTTATAAGCTTTGATTGAAGCAAATATTACATTAATGTCGTCCTGTACAATATTGATTTCTAATATAATGCTATATATTTGATTGTACAGAATCCTTTCTTCTGAAACAAGTTGATACTTTATTTCTGTCTAATTGATCAAAAAGGTTAAAATTACATACAAATTTATCATAACAAATTTTAATTGCAAAATAAAATTCTCAAAAAATGCTGCTCATATTGCTTTTAAATGACATTCATTTGTTGAACCCATCACCTAAATCCTCAGATGATTTTTCAGTTCAGGTCATTTTAAGATTTTCTTTCATTTAAAAAATTATGTGAAAAAAAAGAATAGTCTTCTTACGCGCAATTAGGAAATTAGATCAATGAAATTCCTCCTATATTCTAATGCTATTAAGTATGGAACACTATAATAAAACCTCGTTTGTGTTATGATAAACGTTATTTGAACCTTAGATGAAAGATTAGCCAGTGCATTTTAAATGCTAAAACATGCCATCGTCTTATCTATGCTAACTAGGAAACGTAATGCTTAGCTGCAGAACCTCCGATTAAAAGAATTCTCACAGAAAACTAGAGAGCGTTAGATTCAAGCATTGCAAAAAAGCACAGTCTGTGCGGGGTAAAATATTCCAGAATTGGAAGAACAAAAGGTGTTAAATTACTATAGTAGCTTGTATCTTGAAATCTCTAAAATCAATTATTGAAAATGTACAATCCATAAAATAGAAATACTTTGTAATAAACAGTGACAATTAAAATGATATTCTATCCTATGTTTAATCGGTAAAAAGGGCGACAAAGGGGACCACTGAACTACATTTAGTAGAAAATTCCTTCTTGCTTTCAATTTCTGCTCCATAGTGAGCCCCGCTCTTTTGACAACTATACCACCTTCCTATCCTGAAAATTTCACATTTTGATCTTTATAACTTCTTGATATATATTCTTCGGAAAAGGATGGAAAATATCACTTATTCAGCGAAAAATTAGGTCTGGAGTTGATGTCATACGATATATTTATCGATTGTCAGAACATGTATCCTCAGGCGAAACACTTGTGCAGTCATTTTACAATGATTGCCAAAAAGAGGGTGAATCCATAGTTGTATATGCTTCAAGATTAGAAGACACTTTGTCAAAAGCCATACAATTTGGTCTTATATGTATACTGAAGCAAGAGATGGAATGCTTCGAAGTAAATTTTGGCCAGGGTTATGTAGTCAACAATTGAAAGAAAGTACAAGACATCAGTTTGACTCAAGTAAAAATTTTGAATCTTTACTTAGGGAAATTAGGACGGTTCAGGAAGAGATAACATCACAAAGGAGTACGGGAGCAACAAAGTTATCAAGGCAGGTATTCCAGCAGGCAGAAAGAGCAGCGATTACAACATCATCGACAGATCTTCATAAAGAACTACAGACTATGATTAGAACAATGGAAAGGTTTGAACAGAAAATTGATAGCAATTCAAAATGTTTTCAACAATTGAACAAACGCGTTTATGAATTAGAGAACAACACACACAGAGACAACAAAATTTTTATTCAAATAGAGGTTCATTTGCAAGGGGTAGATTCAACAACAATTCAAACAGAGGTCTTGGTCAAGGTCGAGGTCAAAGTCAATACAAACCATCCCAAGCTGTTCAAAATTCAAAAAATACTAACCTCTTCTATTGAAGAGCAAATGGAGGAGAAAAACAGAGTCAAGAGAAGCCCTATTCAAAATACGAAAACAGAATCTCAAGACTTGTTGTCTAGAATGGTTGGACACCAAAATGAAAGTATTATATTTGTAAATAGTCTAGAAATAAAAGCTTTGATTGATACTGGATCAATGGTTACATGTATGTCTGAGAAATTTTATCAGTCTTTACAACATACACCAGAATTTCATGATATTGAAGACTTTGAGCTCAAAGTTTATAGTGCTGAAGGTAATTCTTTGCCATTTTCAGGATATGTTGAGGTTGAATTGTATATTCCATTTTTTCCATGAAACCATTTTATGTACCAGTTCTAGTTACAAAAGGAACTGAATACAGCAGTAAAGTTCCAGTCATTGTGGGTACAAATGTTATAAGGTTGTGTAGAGATTACGCAAACTCAGATAATACAAATGTTCCAAAGGAATGGAAAATAGCATTGACAAATCTTAGTATTAATAATGCCATTCCTGTAAAGACCACTAACATACATTCCATTACAGTAGGTCCTTATGAAGTAAAAACTCTATCAGGAATAGTTAAGTCTTGCAACAACATGCAGGTAAGTGCTGCTATTACAGAACAAATTGAAAATCTACCAAATAACAACAGTCCTATAATATGTCCAAGAGTTGTATTGGTGAAGAATGGTAAAACCTCACGAATTCCAGTACGGGTATGTAACATGTCAGCACGACCATTAAGGTCTCACCAAAGTCTTTTATTTGTAAATTAAGTTCTGTAAAAGTAGTAGATGTTTGGGAACCTTCAACATCAAATGATCCTAAAAATACATCAGAATTTGACCTATGCCAGTTAGAGATGAAAATCAATGAAAACAATTTATCCCCTGAAAAAGTAGAGACTTGCCATAAATTTTTGAACAAATGGAAACATATTTTCTCTACATCTTCAAAAGATAAAGGTAGAACTGACCTAGTAGAACATAAAATAAACTTATCAGATAACACTCCATTCAAGGAACCTTACAGAAGAATACTTCCAGGAATGTACGAAGAGGTAAGACAACATCTAAAAGAAATGTTAGAAGCATATGCTATAAGGGAATCAAAAAGTCCATATTGTTCCAATGTCGTACTTGCTAAAAAGTTGGATGGTTCTTTAAGATTTTGCATCGATTTAAGAAAGTTAATTAACAAAACCATCAAGGATGCATACAATCTCCCCAAAGTTGAGGAAACCATTGATACTCTTATTGGTAGTAAGTATTTTACAAAGTTAGATCTTAGATCAGGATACTGGCAAGTTGAAATCAAAGAGGAAGATAAACACAAAACAGCATTTTCATTAGTCCTCTTGATTTTTGTATGAGTGTAACTGCATTGCTTTTGGTTTAGCAAATGCTCCAGCCACATTTCAGAGGTTAATGGAAAATTGTATGGGGTAAATGAATTTAAAACAGTGTTTGATATTTTTAGATGACATCCTTGTTTTTTCTTCTACATTTGAAGAGCATTTAGATAGATTAGTAGGTGTGTTTAAGAGACTTGAAAAGCACAATTTAAAGTTGAAACCTTCAAAATGTGAGTTTTTTTTATGTCGGAAGTGAAATACTTAGGACATGTGTCTGAAAAAGAAATACAAACAGATCCCGACAAAATTTCATCATTAAAAACATGGCCAGTAACTAAAGATATATAGTCTCTACTTTCTTTTCTAGGATTTACCGGCTACTACCGGAGATTTGTCAAAGATTTTGTCAAATTGGTAAGGCCTCTCAATGACTTATTAGGTGGACACCCTACTAATAAGAAGTCCAAGGCATGTAAGAAAAAGAAGACTCTATGGGTATTGGGTAAAAAAGAACAACAGTCATTTGAAACATTAATACAGAAACTTACATTACCTCCAATATTAGCCTTTGCAGACTTTTCAAAACCCTTTATTGTTAATATTGATGCTTCAAAGGAAGGTCTGGGGGCAGTACCATATCAAAATCAGGGAGGTTTGGATAGAGTTATTGCGTATGCCAGTAGAGGACTACGGTCAAGTGAGCAAAATTACCCTGCCCACAAATTGGAATTTTTATGTTTAAAATGGGCCTTATGTGACAAATTTCACGACTATTTATATGGCAATAGGTTTGATGAATTTACAGATAATAATCCATTAACATATGTAACAACTACAGCCAAGTTAGATGCAATGTCACACAGGTTATCGGCATCTCTTTCCAATTACAATTTTAAATTACATTACAAAACAGATAAATCACACAGAGATGCTGATGGATTATCTCGTAGACCTACAGAAATTTGTTCTAATATTATTAAGGCTTTGACTTCAGCAGTGTTAGTAGAAAAGGAAGAACTTACTTTGGCTGAAAGTCTAGTATTTACACAAAATGCTACACTACAAAAGAGTAGTGAGGATAATGAATTACAAGAGTTTAGTAATAATAACTGGGCTGTAGAACAAAGATTGATTGATTGATTGTATGTTGTTTAACGTCCCATTCGAGAATTTTTCACTCATATAGAGACGTCACCATATACCGGTGAAGGGCTTCAAATTTTGACCTTTACTCGGCACTCAGGGCCGTTGAGCAGTGAGGGATCTTTATCGTGCCAACGCCTGCCGTGACACGGGGCCTCGGTTTTTAAGGTCTCATCCGAAGGACCCGCAACTTTCACTTTAAAGTGCCGAGCGCATGGCGAAGGAACAGTTGCTACCCATTTTTTATCGACTTGGGTCAGTCGCGGCCGAGATTCGAACTCACGACCTCCCGATCACGGAGCGAGCGATCTACCGACTGAGCTACCGTGAACGGTCTGTAGAACAAAGAAAAGATACATCTATTAACAGACTTATTGAGTTGTTAGAAACAGGTTTGAAACCAGACAGTAAAGAGTTAAAATATGAAAACCTAGAGGTTAGAGAATACCTGAGAGAGTGGAGAAATTCTGAAACATCTAAAAATGTTCTCTATCGTCATACAATGGTAGATGGAAAAAACATCAAACAACTAGTTTTACCATCACATTACAGAAATGTTGCACTTAAAGGTATTCATGTTGAAAAGCATGGTGTTGGCCACCAGGAGAGAGACAAAACTTTATGATTGGCAAAACATAGATTTTATTGGAATGGTAAAGAAAAAGAAATCAAAGAAAGAGTTGAAACCTGTGGTAGATGTGTTCGAAGAAAAACAACAGAAAGCTCTAGAGCTAATCTTGTAAATGTACAAACTACTAAACATTTAGAAATACTGTGTATTGATTTTTAACATTAGAAAAGTCTAAAGGTGGATTTGAAAATATTTTAATAATAACTGACCATTTCACAAAATATGCAATGGCAGTGCCAACAAAGTATAAACTAGAAAAAAACAACAGCTTAAGCTCTGTTTGAGAATTGTCATTAAAGTTTCCCAGAAAGACTTCATTCTGATCAAGGTCGAAATTTTGAGAGTATAGTAATTAAAGAACTATGTGCAATTAGTGGGATAAGTAAAAGGAGAACAACACCCTACCATCCAATGGGAAATGGTCTCGTAGAAAGATTTAATCAGACTTTAATCAAAATGCTAGGCACTTTATGAAAAGGAAGATTGGAAATCTTATATACTTCCTTTAGTACATGCATATAATGGAACCAAACAAGATACTACAGGATTTAGCCCTCATTATTTAATGTTTGGTTGGCATCCAAGATTAGCTATTGATGCATTTTTAAATTTAGATGACTCAGAGTGAATGGATGACGTACAAGTCATCTTAACTATGCTTAAAAATTAAAGAAAAGATTACAATTTGTCTACAAAGTTGAAAGATCAAACATTGATAAAAATAGTTCTCGACACAAAGAAAATAAAATTATGACAATAAAGTTCGTTTCTCGAAATTAGAGATTGGTGATAGAGTCTTGGTTCGGTTATTAGCTAAAACAGGAAAATGTAAACTTTCAGATAAGTGGGAGAAGACCCTTATGTAGTAACAGACATACCAAATGATGGCATTCCTGTGGACAAGTTGCAAAGGACATCAGGAAAGAGACCTAGAAGGTTACTGCACAGAAATTTATTATAACCTTTTATGTTTCTTACAGATGAGGAAGAGATTGAAGAGACACCCCCAACAATAACAAAGAAAAATACCAGACAGAACAAGATGAAGAGGAAAGGTGAGGTTAGTGAAGAAGAGTCTGAATCGTGTGAGTCAGATTCAGACCAAGAAATATATGTAACAAGACCCTGCAACTCTAAAAGAAAGTACTTCAGGCGTAGATCACAATACTGACCTGAACATATGGGATTAAGTGGTTCTAGGGCAATGTCCACTTTCAATGTGAATAATAATATCGGTAGACCAAAGCAACATACTTTCAAGGTTAGTAATGATGTCAGTATACCAAATCAACATCCTTTCAATATCAGCAATAATGTCAGTAGACCTATCCAACAGATAGATTCATTTTCTTCTGTTGATCCTGAATCTTGTATTCAAAATAATAACTCAAACACAATTTCGGGCTTACATTATACAAATGTTAATCAAAGTCAGCCACGAGAACGTGAAACGAGTCCCTCTACTGCACAACTGAGACGCTGTACTCGAATACGAAATGTACCAGATAGATATGGTGAATGGGTAGGTGGGGAACAGTGTGCTTATTTTATGATACTTATCATGTACATGTATTGTTTTTCAGAATTTTCTATTATGATTTTACTTTAGTTATACTTATTCTTTTGATTGATCATAAGCATTACAACTCATGTTACTATTGCATTACAAATCTTCTTGTTTACAGGAGAAAACATCAACAATGATCAAGTGTGAAGTAGTATGAGTTATTATTTTAAATCAACTGAATATTTTTATTTCAGATGTGATTTTTCATATTTAAAATGCCAGGAGACATTTTTCTCTAAGAGGGGGAGAATGTCACAGGGTGAATAAATTATTATTCTAATAAATATTGTATCTGATTGAATATTTAATGACCTAATCACTAATCATCATTTCATTATCTTCATCATCATTTTCATCTATAAAGCATAGTAAATTACAGTCCTCTGGAATTTTTTATGTGTTGAACTTCATTCATAAAATATCTCATAGGGGTTGAATGCTCATTGGTGGATTTAGGAGTGTGAAAGGCAAAGGTGTTTGTGTCAGAATGAGTGAGGCTTGGAGTTCTATGATTGAGTGATATTTTAGAGTGAGGAGTGTGTGAGTGGTTTTACCAGTTTGGCATCAGCTGCGCATGCTTGGCGCCAAATATCCTAACTAATTCACTCCATCCTAGGACAGCCAGGAGTAAGGAAGAATTCCTCTCCTTCTCCATAAAGTCATTCATTTAATAATGAGGACAATTTAATTACTGTCTATTCGGTAAGAACTCTTACCACCGTTGATTTTGAGTAATTAAATATATTATAAAATATTTATCCACTTAACGATAATTAGAACAGGAAAGCTAAAATATATTAAAATAATTTAATGTGTGAGTGTATAGGTGTGAGAGTGTATTCATTTATTTTCATTACTGTTATTGTTACAGGTCACCTTTAATCTTACCATGTAATTGTTATTATTAAAAGGAGTGTCAATTAATTACCTTAAACCTTACAAACATTTACTACAGTTAGCTATATATAGTTAACTAAAGATGACTTTATTTAAAAAAAAATACTGTTATTCATGGGGGGGGGGGGGGGGGTATTCGTGAGATGTTTATTTTAGCGTAATTACACGATACCATCCGCTCGCAAAAATTTCATTCTCGCGTATATTTGTATTATAAAAGATTGTATAAACAATAATCAAACATTACTTTCGAACTTTTTTGAGATTTAGAATCTTAATAAATTTGAAAATTAAATACTATTTATGTAAAGATTATAAATAATATGCAAATATACTGGTAAGATTTCTTTTTTATATAATAAAATTTGCAGTTTTGAAATTGAGAACATTAAATATAACAATTTGAATTTCGTATCAAAAATACTTTGATTTACGATAGAAAAAAATTGATTTACTATAGTAAAACCTTTGAAACTCTAGTTAACTTAAGTAATCTATATTTGAGCCTTTCCAAGCAATCCCCCCTTATGTAATCTGACAGATTTTTACGTCACAATAGAAAAAAAAGCGACCAGGCCGCAAGACCATAAACTGAGAACAGACTTAAGTCAAAATTTCAAACCAATATAACTTTTGAAATATTTTTGATAATGATACAAAATTTTATTGTTTTTTTTTCTTCCCATTTATCTATCTCAATGACAGCCTCTACCAAATGAAGCAATGAGGCTATAGAAAATTAAACTTTAAAGCTTCAAATTATAGTCAGAATAATTTGATTCTCATATTAGTAGCTTTATACAAAGTTTAGTGCCAATTAAAGCATGTTAAAAGAAGAGCCATTGAAAAACAAATTGATAACTATCGGATATTTAATTAAATTTTCATCTGAAATTCTATTTGCAATTAAGTTCTCTAAGACAAGATGGGATGTCGTAACTATTCTCAGAGGGCTGACAAGCATCAAAAGACTAGACTTAATATACATGTCTCTTCGTAAAGGATTTTATATTTATTCTGGGATTGATATTGCTTTTTCAAAAAGCAAAATTATCAAGTTATGAGAATTAACATTTGACATTGCAATTTATGTATAAACAGCTTTGCCGTTGAATTACAGACATTTTGTATTCCTTTAAAGTGCAAATATACCTCGAAAAATGCTTTAATTAACAGTTTCTTTCATTTTTATTTTAAATCTCTTTAGATCTATATCTCATACCTCTGACTTTAAAATTCTCTACAGTCGACGCCATAGTGATCTATGAGTTACTTGAGAGAAAGAATATGTCTGTGGTTCAGTTTTCAACTTGAAAAAAAAAATTACTACAAGTTTGATAATTTAATCATGCTTACATAGGTATAAAATATCATTTCCGTGTTTAGTTTTATTATTATTACCTTACATCAAAATGTGAAGTTGACTTTTGATACATATTTAGCAAGAGATATGGATTTCAGATCCATTTCTAATGCTAACTATGGCTTTAAAGTCTCTATAAGAGATAAACATTTATCTGTAGTTCATACATTCAGCTCTCGGGGATCTGCATTGTCTTTATATATATATATATATATATATATATATATATATATATATATATATATATATATATATATATATATATATATATATATATATAGAAAGCACTAAAAATGACCAACGACACGAACATTAAAAAATTGTCAAATTTTCGGGACGCCCTGTCCCTTCCTCGGGACAAAGAAAAAAGTTAAGAGGTCATAAAAACAAAGGAAACAGAGAAACAAAAAACAACTAGCACTACTACTAAACTACCAAACACTATGTATTTACAATGTTACGTGTTTAATTTGAAGTTTTTAACCAGTTGTAAAAAAAAAAGAAATCAGGACCGCTATGAAATACGTCCGGTCTGTCGGGTGTACTCTGGTGAAGTGCGATTTACATAATCGAACGAATTAATTATCGCTAATTAATTACGACCAAGCAGTAAATCGTACACTGTCTTATTCTCTCGAAATAGCGTAACTATACATAATAAAAAGGAACCAAAGAAGGATAATATAAAAGGGATATTTTACAAATATGAATTTGGATGTGTTAAAAATTTGGAAATGTTTTCAAGACTGTTTATTGGATAAAAGAAATGATAAACAAAAATGTAAGCAATAAATCTGTGTGTGGGTGAATTGTTCCAGAAAAGATAATGCGAATTAACGGCAAAGTTTACACTATATAGAGAGAATGAACTTGTTTGTTACAATTAGGAATTGAGTCTAGTTCACGTTCATCCTCGTGAAGTCATTTAGTTTGTCTATACCATTAGGGCAGAATGACTTCAGTCTGTGCTTCCAGAACTTTTCCTTGCTTTTTCTCTGAGCGTCTGTCCATCTTGCATTATGGTCAATATCCACTACTGTCATGTCCTCCCATTTGTGACCTTCAAGGTTGAAATGTTCTCCATCGCGTTCATTGAGTTTTTTGGTCGTAATGGTCGAAATTATTGACTCTACGGAGATACTGTTTGGAACAAACTTTGCAACTGATGAGATATATACAGTTGTCTGTTTGTCAGGACAAATTCCCTAGTATTCTGTGACTGCGGCCAGTAACGGGGCTGTTAAAGCTGTCTGTGTCAGAGCTGTGCTTACAGAGAAGACACCTGTCACAGCAAGTTTTAAAGCCCCCGTTAGATAATGGATTGTCCAATCTGGTTCTTACTACCATGTCCTTTAGGTTCCTCGGGCGTCTGTATGCAACCAATGGAGATTCCTTAAAGACCTCTGCCATTCGTTTGTTTGAGTGGAGAATTGGCAGGTTCTTTTTAAGGATACCGCTGATGTTCTTAAGAACGGGATGGTATGTGGTCACCAGAGGGTGTTCCGTTTTCTACCCCAACTCCGTAATCATGTTACAGTCGTCTGTTTTCATACGAGCAGTTACAAGAGACGTTCAATTAATAGTGCAAAAGATCTTAAAAATAAAAGAAAGGCACATAAAACAGTTTCTTGATTTTTTTAATCCCTTAAAGTACTCTCCGTTAATCTTTTAACATGTCTCAGGTCATACCTTTGACCCGAATACCTATAATACTGGTATAAAAATATGTCCCCATGACCGAGATCTACTGAATACGGGCGATCTAGCTAACCTCTGTGAACGTCTCTTTCTTATTATTTCCTTCACATCTTTGAACTTATTTGCTGCAGCGTTGTCAGACACAAAAAAATTAACTCGGAACCTGTATTCGGACATGGAGCACACGGCGGATGTGACCATGTGGCAGGGGATACTTATTCCTCCATGGCACCTGATCCCACCTCTGATGTTTTTGGAAGTCCGTGTTTGCTCTGCTCCCGAATTGTATTGTCTAAATGGACTTTGAGCTTGAAAACTGATCTCTCCATATTCCATTACAGAAAATCTGCATAATTTTCCTCCGCAAAATTTAGCTTAAAAGCTAGCATTGATGGTAAATCCTTTGGGTATAGGTAAATGTATTACTGGACCTCTTGAGTATTTTTTTATTGTGGAAAATGAGTCCAAGCTCCAAACATTTCAGAAGACAAAGTGACAGTTTTCAATGAACTGTGTAAAAGAACGAAGAAAAACTGCAACATGTAAGTATTTTTAGCCGGAGTTTGGGTGATATTGAAAAAGTGTAAGCTGATCATGGACTTAGCACATGAAATTTAAAGCAGATTTATAATACGCAAAAACTTTGTCCTTCAGCAACTTTCACGTTTTTTTTGTTTTTTGTTTGTTTTTTTTTTTTTTTGTTTTTTTTTTTTTTTTTGTTTTTTTTTTTTTGTAGATAGTTAAGAAATATTAATTCCAGATCATTTTATAATAAGTATTCATGAAATATTTGTATACCATCATGCTTTTGTGATGCATATTAATACGATATGTTTCAAAATTAATGAGAGGCATGTCCAAAATAAAAAAAAATAAATAAAACGTGATATTGAAATTATATTCAAACTCTGATAAATAGCTTTATAAGTTTAACATTGATTTTCGGTTTCCACAAAAGTCTGTTAATATTCACATTTTTAAAGGATATATTCTAGAGAACTCACGACATATTCCAACATATTGAATATTCTATAAGGAAAAAAAAATAATTTTCGCTTTCACCTAAAGCCTTGAATTGAAAAACATTGTGAAAATTTTTAACGCTACAACGTAAACGTCTTTATACTCACAAGCCACATTTATTGTATGAAATATCTGTGAAGCATTTTGTCATGTATTAAATCATTGAAGGTTGTGGAATTTGAATATATATAGGGTGAAGATAAGAAGCAGTGATCGATCTAAAATAAAATCCAGAAACAATACATATCTGTGAAGAGGACATAAAACACTGACCTCCGGAAATTCCATAGGTGGGATCAGGTACCTATGAGGAGTAAGCATCCCCTGTCGACCGGCCACACCAGCCGTGAGCCCCACCCCAAGTATATTGATCAGGTAGACGACAGTTTGTACAAAAACAAAGGGTATGAAACACGTCAACCGAAATACGACAAAATTTGCTAACTTTGGCCATTATAACAAACAAGGAACTTATGGAAAATGCTGATTTTTAAGAAGGTTGTTGAGATCCCTGCAATATCAGTTTATCTGTCAGTAGCCTGAATTGTTTGAAAAAATGATCATACTCAAAGCAAACTCTACATTGGGAGACGTAAACACCACATGCAGGTGAAAGCAGAATATTACTCTATAATATATATTTTGTTAAAATGATACTTTTATTTATGATATTTCTTTTTTAAATGTCATAGAAATATGTCATAAATATGTCATAAAAATACGATAAATAGATGGTTAAAAAAATAACTTTAATTAATTTTGACACATATCAAAATATCTTGCATCATAGGAGCATGTTGGTATGAAAAGTTTTTAAAAAGATTGGGAATTACCTCACGTAATACTTTTTGCCTAATTAGGGAAAATTGGAATAAGTTTGCTTTGACACATTATTTACTGCTGAATGTCATTAAATATTCATCATAGGCTGTGTTTTATTTTTTTTATATAAATAACATCAATCGTTGTATTTGAATTTGATAGACGGACCTAATGTTGATTATAAAATGTAAATTTATAAATTACTATTGAAAATGATTATAATTCTTTTCAAAAAAGAAATAACATTGTAATATGTTATTTTAAAATTCTTAATATGACCTGGCAAACTGACAAATGGTTAAACTTTTTGATAAATATGATGACTTTAATTTTTCTATTGTTAACTTCCCTTACTTATGTAGCAATATATCTTTATCACCTTCATATGGAGTTGGGTTCCCCTTGTTGATTCGATACGTAAGAGCATGTTCTACGAGTGAACAATTTCTAAAAAGAGGCAGGTTGCTGACAAATAAGTTGATGATACAAGTATATCAAAAGTCTTGTCTAAAGTCAACATTTCGCAAATTCTATATGGTCGAAACAATGACCATGTACATGCAATTAGTCTGTCATTAGGTCGAATATTGACCGGCGATTTTCAGACAAATTTTTAGCCCATTAATCTTCACACTAGAAATGTCCAAGGATTTTTCCGTTTACATGGAAGTACCGGTAATCATTTACGGGGATGCTTACTCCTCCATGGCAACTGATCCCACCCCTGTTTTCAACACGGTCCGTGTTGACCATGCTGTCAGAATGATTACTGTTTATTATCCTCACATTTCATTTGTAATCTTCTTTGGGTAATAATTGTATGAGAAATCACCACGTCCGTCTATCTTAGCCAATTTTGGCCAAAAATTAATGATTTCATTGTTTTTTAAGACTTGGTAGATTTAATAAATCATTGGAACATAAGGTATTTTGAGACTGATTTGAAAAAAATACGACCTGCTTAAGATTTCACTGCACATTACTTCAACTAAAAGAATCAGGAGAGAAACTTCATTGAACATAACTTTGAGTCCAGAGTACATGTACTCCTTCCTACAAGTAAGAGCCTCGGTTAACGTCCCTACGCTCCTTATATACCTCGGCCGCGGCGCCAAGTCAAAAGTATCTCGCCGTTAACCTCTAGCATGCTGGAGTAATACTAAAGAAGCTTGTGACCGAGTAGTACTTCAAATTAAAGTATAAAATATTTAAGATTGGGGTTAAAAATATTTATTTTAGCCATTAGCTATTACTATACGTCGTCATTTTGAAAATTTCAAGGCATTTGCTTAATATTTGATAGTTTCCCAAGAATTTGAAATGGGAAAGAGGTAAACACAACACACACAAAAAGGTAACGTTTGATGAACTTAGTGCTGCATTCCAGAACTGTTCAGTTTTATGCAGCTTTAGTAATCTTGATGCTTTAACGGAATTTAAATGATAACAGAAGATTATATATACAGAGAGAGAGAGAGAGAGAGAGCATGAAAGGGAAAATTGATAATCAGAATTGATTTTTATTGCCCGAGTTCAAACCCAAAGAATACCACATTTTTAAATCGGAGAATTTTGGCAGAAAAGTTTTGTTTGACATAATTCCATATTCACTTTACTCTAAATACTAAATTCAAAACATGAATATGACTTTCATACCTTTGAAGCTACAGGCATTTTGCACACCTTGTTCACCCATCTCCTTACAGAAAATTAAAATAGTGTTAATTCAAAACAATAAATGAAAACTTTTGAAAACTGTTTTACATGTTGATTAAAAGGGTGGATAGATTTTCAGGATAATTTTCTTTATTAATCTTTAACAATTACAGCCTTAGAATATTCTGAAACACTGATTATTAATAGTTACTATTCATATTAGATTTGATGACAAAAACATATTTTATGTTTCAAAAGTCATACAATTAATGCAAAATATGATACAGATATGCAAGTTTTTATTGCTACTTATATGTTTTTCAAAAATGAGGTCATTGACACACATTTTAACCAAAAAATATTAACCAAGTTAAACAAGATTTGATTTTAAGTCTTTAAGTGTGTTCCACCAACAGAAGGATATGGAATTATACTCAAATTTATTTCATACGTCAACATTGTAGTTTTGAAAAATGCGACAATGAGGTTCAAAATAAAACTTTTGTGCATATCCAATGCTAGATACCTCAACATCAATTGCATGAATGATTAATATGTCATGGAGATTTAATCAGGTAACAAAAAAGTCCTCATAACAAAAATAATATTCAACAATTAAGATAAGTAAAAAACACACACACACACAAAACACAAAACACTGATCATATACATGTGGGTAAAAAAAAATACACTCCTCATTCATCATAGTCTAGATAACTGCACTGGTGATCTTCAAAGAATTTTGAATACAACATGGTTTCTTCCAGCAAGTTGTTTTCTCTCCCATTGTTATTGGTCAGGCGAAAAAAATACACAGGACGATAAAAATCATAATCAATCAAAAAAAAAAACAAAAGTAAAAAAAACAAAAAAGATTGCTTTGATCTTATGAATATAATTCAAATTTTTTTCTTAAAAGAATAGCTCTTAAGATTCTAGCTACAATAAATATATTTTACAAGTAGCAACATAACACAGCAAACAATTGAGTAACATTGACATAAAAAAAATTGTACATTGTATCATTGGCAAAATACAAAGTAACATGCACAGAAAAGAAATTTGAAGATACATGTATCTATACGATGATTGATGGTACATGTACCAGATCCTCACACTGTATCACTATATTTCCACAGACCATAAACTGGATAAATAGACAAAGTGTTGTCCTCTTTAATGAGCAACACATTAATGAGATGACCATGACCTTCACAGATTGTCCTTTACACTGACCGGCTCACATAAGGAACGATCATGCCCTTCAAGGAGGTCGAAGGCCAAACTGACCAGCACATGGTTGGGTTGACCACTACCTTCTACAAAGGAAAGAATGTCATCTAGTGAGACACAGAACAGCTAAAATTACCTGGGTCATTACTTAGTTCCTTAACACAAACCATCACACAGAAGGAATGGCCTAACAATGACCAAATGACCAGATTGACCATCACACACAAGGAATGACCAATCACTGACCATCACACAGAAGGAATGACCAATCACTGACCATCACACACAAGGAATGACCACTGACCATCACCCACAAGGAATGACCAATCACTAAGCATCACACAAGGAGTGACCACTGACCATTACAAAGAGGGAATGACCATTCCCTTTACAGAGGTCAGAACATATTCACTGAGTGGCTGCAAGTTATACACGGTCAGTGAGTCCAGCAGCCATTCTCTGGACACAGTCAAAGCTCCATGTCTTCTGTACAGCCCTACAAATTAAGGATAAAAAAATATTTTTAAAAAATATATTTTCTTCAAACAGCAAATTGTTTTCACTAGAGGATAAATCACATCTGATAGTCTGGTAATGTTAAACCTTTAAATCTCTGTTAGTAAGATGACATGAAATGATACAATATTACAGAGCCTTCATTCACAATTACATTCACTTACGATTAAACAGTATGATTTCCTGGGAGGGGGCAGTTTCCTGACTATCCTCCAGGGCGGCACATGTGATGATTAAACAGAGATGGTCACGGTCCAATTTCTCTGGCTCCTGGACCACCGATCCCCCACAAGTCTCTATCAAGTCCCTTATGTCATCTACAACACAAGTACACAATTATCTCTATATCATATACTTTGTAGTGTATCAGCTCTGATATGGGCATATCGGACTAGTTGAGACAGGATCTGGGAACTAGGGCTGTCTCACCTCAGGGCTTAAATATCGCTGTCTCATCCTGTAGTAAGGGGCTGTCTCACCCTTTAAAATTTAATCCATTATTTCTGTTTAATTTGTGTGAAATGAAAGTAAAATTCATATTTAAGAGTTAATAAAAATATTTTGTATACTAAAATTAGATCTGAGTCTTAAACAATTATTTATTTATATAATATAATATTGAGAAAAATGTTTTTAAAAAGTGCGACAAATGATGGTACTTGTGACTTAAGAGAGGTAACTCTTGTTTACTTATAACAGCAACACACCATGCTTTGAAAACAAATAGACATTTATTTGCTTTAACAGTAAGACAATACCAAGTTTTGTTTTAATGTGTCTTTTTTTGTTTAATATATATCGTAAGCAAAACAAGCAGATACAATAAATCCCAGACCTGAAAGTTGAAACGATTCGTTGAAAAAGTAACCAGGTTCGATCCAAAGTAAAAGTAGGGTTTTAAAAGTTAGTTATCTAATGTGCTTTGGAATGCAATGTTTCAAAACACCAGGACTATTCTTTTTAATGCCCAAATCAGGCAAATTCTTTCTCTACATGACTAATCACCTTCGTCAAGCAACATATGAACATTGAAAAAAGAAAGAAAACTCTAATTTCATTTCTTACGACAAACTTCATAAAACTTTTTGTTGGGAAAAAACCTTTAAAATATTTGTTCTTTTATTGCCTTTGGTTTTTGATATATGATATAAACAACATCACACCACTGTTTTGACCTCGTTCCTGATATCAGCCCTCGGATGGTCTCGGCCCACGCCCTCTGGACTTGGGCCAAATCTACTGCTCGGGTTCATACCAGGGTCGAGATCAAAACAGTTGTGTGATGTTGTTTATATCTTATCTATATTGTTTGTAGTATCTATCAGGTTCCTTATGTCATCTACAACACAAGTCACAATTATCTCTATCTACATCTATATTGCCTCTAGTCTCTATTAGGTCTCTTATATCATCTACAACACAAGTCACAATTATCTCTATCTACATCTATAATGCCTCTAGTCTCTATTAGGTTCCTTATATCATCTACAAGTACACAATTACATTTATAAGAGAATACATGACTTTTAGAAACAGATAAATAAAAGGTGAATAGCAATTTCCTGTTTTTAATTGTACCTGAACTCAGTCCTTGGCTGGATCCTATGATGTAGAACTGGATTCCATTAAGAATGCCCGGATCTGTGGGGCTCTTTGTTCTGGATTTCTGCGGCCCACAGTGATGGTCATTTGTCACCGTATCTCCACTAATCTCATAGGGATCCTTGGTTTATAAATATCACAAAAAATGATACAAATTACACCGTTATTTGGGTGATTGTTTACTTCATCTTTTATTATTACAAGGTACTGTTATGGAAGTGGTAAATTTTTTAAGTTTCTTGATAAACAGGCAGCCAGAATTCTTCAAAGGAAAAAATCATTCTGTGAAAAATTACATACTGTACAAACAACTTATCTACATCTATTCTGTATTATCCTGATATACATGTACCATCATAACTTGAATGTGAATTTTTTTTATCAAAACATACCTCCTCGAGTAGCCTCCCAGCAGCTATACTGTCTGTTACCCATTTGTAATCCAGGATCCAGCATTTATAGGCCAGGGCCTGGAAAAACTTGAGGGTTCTTTCACACATTCTACTCCCTGGCGGCACTGTTAGGACAGAAAATAAACATAGGTAATCAAAGATGATGGAGCTCACCTCCACAAAACTTAAGTAAAGCAATGTCTACCACCAAAGGAATGTTCTGGTTGTGTGAATACTAAGGTACAACATTTATTTAATCGAAACAAAATTTTATTCACAGAAGTGAATGGGATTGGGCAGCAGACTCAGCCTATTTTAGACCTATCCTAATTTACAACATATATTAAGTTTGGTATGCACAGATTTATCAGCCTATTTTGGGAAATGCCATTTTGGGGGAAATGGTAAAAAATTATCGGCTATTTGATGAAATTGGGAAAAATTAAAAATGTTGCTTAAATCATGTATTCAGGTGTAATTCATTTTAATTAACATTTCAGCATGAACTCTAATTTGGGCAACCAAACAGACAATCAAATATGATCCATCTTCATACAATATCATGCAATTATGAATAATCATGATAATAGACTAATAAAAGTAAAATTTACTTCAAATGAGTATAAAGTGTTTATGCAGCTTAGGGTAGTACATGTGTATATGAGACTCCAATTTAGGTCATTATAGAATCTGTTTCTGGAGATTATAAACCTCCTGCAAAAAATTATACTAAGTACACATTTTCTCAAAGTCCTCTTTCAATATGTATTAATGCATTGAAAATATATTTTTCTATTTGAAATAATGCCTACAGTCCTTACCATTCACTCGTAGATCAATTGAATAAGTGGAAATAATAAATCTATATAATTATACAATATCAAGATTTTCAGAAAAAACGGAGGAAATTCGGATTAAAAGTTAGCGATGTTTTACAGTGTTTTTAAACATGTGTTATGACTGTAGCTTTGCTAAATTATTTAAATAGATGAAAATTACTGACAATCTGACAATTTTACTTTGTGTTTTTCCAAGATAATTAAATATACAAGCATTGTTCACCAATTGGGAAAAAATACTGCCAAATTGGGAAAAACTGAACTCATTTTCAATTGGGAATGGGGCCGAATTTCGGCCCCTGAGAAGGTACTGATAAATCCCTGGGTATGGTAGGACTTTAATATAGCTACTTTAGTCACACCCAGTTTCTGAACAATGTCTGGTTGCATGCATCCCATGAAACATTATCCATGTAAGTTTGTTCACCATTGCGCTAAGAGTTACTTTGGAATGACCCACTCCAAAAACTTCAAGCTGATCACACCTCTGAAAATGTAGGTCAGATCCACTATCTGAAGCAAGTCTGGTAGTGTCCATTCCTAGGTACATCATTTATGCAAGTTTGGTCACTATATGGCCTATACATGTAGGTATTTTGGAAAGGACTTGAACACCCAAGGTCAAGGTAAACAAATCAAAATTGTTAGTACCCAAGGGAAGGACTTGTCACAAGGAATACACCTGTGAAATATGAAAGCCCTAGAACCAACTAAAAGTTATGGCCAAGGTTAAAGTTCTTCAAAAGTAGGTCGGACTCAAAGGTCAAGGTAAACAAATCAGAATTGTTGGTATCCAAGGAAAGGTCTTTTCACAAAGAATATACATGTACCTGCGAAATATGAAAGCCCTAATACCAACCGTTCAAAAGTTATTGCCAAGGTTAAAGTTTTTCAAAAGTAAGTCAAACTCCAAGGTCAAGGTCAAATGGTCCATATTGCTGCTACCAAAAGGAAGGTCCTTTCACAAGGAATACACACATGAAATAAGTAAGCCTTAGTACCAACCGTTCAAAAGTTACGACCAAGGTTAAAGTTTTTCAAAAGTAGGTCGGACTCAAAGGTCAAGATCAAAGGGTAAAAATTGTTGGTACCCAAGGGAAGGTCTTGTCAGAAGGTATAAGCATGTGGAATATGAAAGCCCTAGCACCAAACTTTCAAACGTTATGGCCGAGGTTAAAGTTTTTGTAAGGTTGGTCAAACTCCAAGGTCAATAGGTTAAAATATTTATACCCAAGGAAAGGTCTTATCACAAGGGCTAAACATGTAAAGTATGAAAGCCCTAGGACCAACCATTCAAAAGTTGTGGCCAAGGTTTAAGTGTGTTAAAATTTTGCAAAAGTGGGTCAAACTCTAAGGTCATGAGGTCAAATAAGTTGGTACCCATAGAAAGGTCTTGGCACAAGAAATACACATGTGAAATACAAAAGTCATAGCTCCAACCAATGAAAAGTTATGGCCTAGGTTAAAGTTTTTGCGGACAAACAGACAGACAGCCTTGCGCACAAACAGCTAGACAGGACAAAAATTATATGCCCACAAATCTTCGATTATGGGGACATAAAAAAGAAAATTTTGAATGTCACTTTATTAAGTCAGATTCATAAAATCAGTGGAAGTGTTTATGTTTCTATAATATTCTCTGTATATGAAATGACAGGCAGATATACCCATTGTTGCAGGTACTTCATATATACTTGTTCACTACACAGTGCACAGACTTGTTTTTGTCATAGTCACATATTAAATTTTCTCTATAAAATATGTGGAGAGATTAAAAACATGTTTTGAAACAATTTCTTTTCCTTTGAAGTGTGTGCGAGATGAAATGAACTACCTGTTTTTCCTATAAATGTTTTCTACTGATGTAAAACTTAAACATACCTGTTTTGAACTACCTGTTTTTCTAATAAAATGTGTTCTATTGATGAAATATGTAAACATACTTGTTCTCACAATGTGTGGTGTATTGACGAAATAAGTAAATATACCTGTTTTCACAATGTGTGTTCTATTGATAATATACGTAAACATACCTGTTTTCACTATGAGGTGTGTGGTGTAAGGAGAAAACTTTGGGTGAAATTTACAGTCATGGCTCTGGACCAGTCGACGAAGCTCATTCTGAAGAAAAATTCAGAGAACAAATCGTAAAAATTTAGACTAGAGGAGTGCCACACTAAGTTTCAAATTTAAGTTCACTCTACTTGTTAATACATTATCAAGATTATGCAATAAATATGTTAGAGTACAACATACAGTTGAACTTCGGTATCTCGAACACAGATATCTCGAATACCATGGATATGTCGAAGTGATTGAGAAGTCCTAACCACGTATTTCTTGAGTATTTTACACTCGATATCTCGTACCCTCGATATCTCAAAGTTTTATCTTGGTCCCATCGAGTTCGAGATAACGAGGTTTGACTGTACTTTACTATTTACAATGTTAAGTATACTCACTTAATATTAATGAGAAATAATAGTTCTATTTTATTTCTTACATTACAAAACCCTCCACCATAAATTGATATTCACATATACGTAATTATAAAATTAATGACAGATCAAACATTTGTTAAAGAAAGAAAAACTTCTTGAGTGAAAGATGCATTTTCTTCCATCATATTCCAGTACACGTATTAGTTTTCTGTTACAGATACACACCTACATGACATACACACAAATGTGTTTAAAAAATTTATTTTTTTTTTGTCATTCATAGTGTTTAAAAATTTAATAATGTTCCATGTACAGTCCAGCCTCCTTAATCCAGACACTCATGTTTCTCAGCAAATCATCCGGATTATTAAATCATCTGGATTACTGAATCATCTGGATTACTGAATCATCTGCATTACTAAATCATCTGGATTACTGAATCATCTGCATTACTAAATCATCTGGATTACTGAATCATCTGGATTACTGAATCATCTGCATTACTAAATCATCTGGATTACTGAATCATCCAGATTACTGAATCATCCAGATTACTGAATCATCCAGATTACTGAAGCATCTGGATTACTGAATTTCTTTTCATATTTAGATAATTGGTGTCCAGATTAATGAGGCTACACTGTACGTGTATAATGTGTCCCTAATTATAACTAACTTACCAACTGATTGAAAGGAAGACCTGAGGCTACAAAGACTTTACTTTGATTGTCCTTTTCAGGTGATCTGTGTACCAATGGGCTCTGAACTTTTTCATTGGTTTCAGGAAATTCCCTTGGAGTCAGAACCGGGGATAAGAATGACAGAGTATTTTTCTGTCCCCTTTGAGGTTTCTTGTTGCTGGACACTGGCGTAGAATGGTAGAGGTCTTTCAATCTAGCCACAGAACTTTTGCCAGGCTTCTGGCTTTGGGGAGATTCCTGTATCACTGATGGTTCTTTGCTGTCGGTGAAATTGCCCCTCTGAGAGCTTTTACCTAGTGCTCTATTCTTTGATTTCTGAAGGGATTCTTTGATTTCACATGGATCCACAGTTTTACATGAATGGTTTGACAAGTCCCTCTCTATCTTCCAATCCTCTCCCTCCTCAGCCTCTATATCACTGCTTCCCTCTGAGCGAAATCTTTCACCAGGATTTTGTTCAGTTATGAATTTCTCTTGAGATGTTTTTTCATTATTTCTGAACTCTTGCAAGAATTCTTCAGTCTCTTTGAAATTTTCAGAAAGTTTCATTCCTACTATTGGCAGAGTGCAGGGGTCATTTGGAGGTGGGGAAGGAGGAGCAGGACTGAGGAATAAGTCACTGCTATCATCCGAGTCGCAGGCCTCAATTTCATCAGCAATTTTGGATGCAATCTTCTGGGATTGTTGAGGTGAATCCCCTTCAGATGCTTCGGTTTGTAATTCTACAAATTAAAACTTTTTGATTTTTTACTCCTGCAATATATTGTACACTCAACATACAGTATGCTATTGACATACATGTATATGATTAATTTCTATTATCGCTGATGAGGAGAGAAAAAGAGTAAATTAAAATAGAAGTTGTCACCTCTTAAATATTCTGAATATGGCTCCTCTGCAGTTTCTTGTGAAGGTGCAGGACTTGGAGACCTCTTCCTAGTTATAAAAACATAGGTAATCAAAGATTACGAAGCTCACCTCGACGAAGGCTATCTATAAGTAAGGCAAATCTCACATCATATTTTTTCTAGTTAGTGTTCATCCCAAGATCAATATCCATACAAGTTTGGTTTAAGAAGGACTTATAGATACTTGGAAATAGACCTGCTCAAAAAACTTCTAACCTGTTTACTAATCAAGAAAATTTTGGACAGTTCCAACATCCAAAGCAAGTCTGGAAGTTTTCATCCTTAGATGTACCATCCAAGCTGTTTAATCATAACATGCCATAATATTATATAGCTACTCCAAAAACATTACTCTGGTCACCCATCTGGAAAATGTAGGTCAGATTCAGAATCCAAAACAAGTCTGAAAGTGTCCATCCTAAGATACATCATCCATGCTAATTTGATTAAAATATGGCTAAAATTCACTCATCTGGAAAATCTAGGTCAGATTCAGCATCCGAAGCAAGTGTGGTAGTGTCCATCCCTAGATGCATCATCCATGCAAGTTTGGTCCAGGTAAGGGCTTATAGTTACTTGGGAATAGACCTGCTCCAAATATAGGTCAGATCCAGCATCCGAAGCAAGTGTGGTAGTGTCCATCCCTAGATGCATCATCCATGCAACTTTGGTTCAAGTAGGGCTTATAGTTACTTGGGAATGGACTTGCTCCAAAAACTTTAACCTGGTCCCTCATCTGGAAATTCTAGGTCAGGTCCAGCATCCGAAGCAAGTGTGGTAGTGTCCATCCCTAGATGCATCATCCATGCAACTTTGGTTCAAGTAGGGCTTATAGTTACTTGGGAATGGACTTGCTCCAAAAACTTTAACCTGGTCCCTCATCTGGAAATTCTAGGTCAGGTCCAGCATCCGAAGCAAGTGTGGTAGTGTCCATCCCTAGATGCATCATCCATGTAAGTTTGGTCCAGATAGGGCTTATAGTTACTTGGGAATGGATTTGCTCCAAAAACTTTAACCTGGTCACTCAACTGGAAAATCTAGGTCAGATCCAGCATCCGAAGCAAGTGTGGTAGTGTCCATCCCTAGATGCATCATCCATGCAAGTTTGGTTCAGGTAAGGGCTTATAGTTCCTTGGGAATGGACCTGCTCTAAAAACTATAACCTGGTCACTCAACTGGAAAATCTAGGTCAGATCCAGCATCTGAAGCAAGTGTGGTTGTGTCCATCCTTAGATGCATCATCCATGCAAGTTTGGTTCAGGTAGGGCTTGTAGTTACTTGGGAATGGATTTGCTCCAAAAACTTTAACCTGGTCACTCAACTGGAAAATCTAGGTCAGATCCAGCATCCGAAGCAAGTGTGGTAGTGACCATCCCTAGATGCATCATCCATGCAAGTTTGGTTCAGGTAAGGGCTTATAGTTCCTTGGGAATGGACCTGCTCCAAAAACTTTAACCTGGTCACTCAACTGGAAAATCTAGGTCAGATCCAGCATCCGAAGCAAGTGTGGTAGTGTCCATCCCTAGATGCATCATCCATGCAACTTTGGTTCAGGTAGGGCTTGTAGTTACTTGGGAATGGACCTGCTCCAAAAACTTTAACCTGGTCCCTCATCTGGAAATTCTAGGTCAGGTCCAGCATCCGAAGCAAGTGTGGTAGTGTCCATCCCTAGATGCATCATCCATGCAAGTTTGGTCCAGGTAGGGCTTGTAGTTACTTGGGAATGGACTTGCTCCTAAAACTTTAACCTGGGACGCCGACGCTAACACCGACGCCGACGCCAACGCCGGGGGTATAGCATAAGCTCATCTCGACTTCGTCGAGGTGAGCTAAAAAGACTTATATAAACCACCACAACAAGGATTTTCAAAATGGACATACAGCAAACAAATGCAGTAATTTTTTTGTACAATGAATTCTCAGTTTTACCTACTATTGAATGAGGAATTTGAAAGTAGTTATAGGTTACATTTATTCTCTCATTCAATCTCATTCTATAGGCTACATAGAAATATTTACTTCCACTGAATATCATTTTCTTTGTTTCTTATGAAAACCATTGCCATTTATCAGTCAGTAAACAACACTAAGCAAGCCACCTGCATAAATTTCTTGAGCCTTGGCTGTTCCATCAATTATGCATACAATGACATACACATCTATAATACAATATTTACCACATCTAATTTTACTTTGAATGTTTTTATACAGATATAAATATAAACAATAAAATGACTTTCTTTGTTAGTACGGGAATTAACATTGCAGCTCTTGCAGAAAAAAATTTCATAATCCGCTTACGGGGGTTATGTATTTTTCCTGCAACAGCTGCAACATTAATTCCCGTACTAACAACCAAAGAAAGCATTTTATTGTTTAAATAACTGAATATAAAGATTTATGATAAATATAAAAAAAATGTATGATATAAATAGGGATGTCAAAATATTTATTTTCCTTAGTCGATTATTCAATTGCATTATTCGAACGATAGTCGAATATTCGGAACATTATCTGAAAATTTCAAACTTCACTGGTACATGACGTGTTTATAACTCAAAAACCCTTTTACTGAAGTCTAGTAACATCACAATTAATGTAACATAACGTGTGGATAGTATGATTATATGAAATAAATTTAGAAACCTTATTCTCCAAAATGTACGATTTCCCCATCAATAGAATTCATAAATCGGTCGGTACATGCAGTCGTGCAGTTTTTTTTAGTAAGCATTTAAAAACTGCCAGGCGATATTTTAAAAAGCTCATTATGAAATAAATGGGGGGGGGGGGGGGTTATCTCACACTATCCACACTTCACGTGCCCGTAAAATTGTTAAACAGTTAGATACTACCTATTCAATTATTGTTTGCTCTGGCCATCAAAATGTCTTTAAACAGGTTAACATGTAAGCGAATTGTTGCAATAATTATCGAGAAGTGTCATAGCAGGCTTATTCCTTGCATTTGAGCAATCTTAAAATAAAAGATAATTGGTACATGGTAAAAAATTAAGTCTAATTCATAATTTTACAAACAAAGCCCAGTATATTGGTGGGTAATTTATTACAAAAACAACACAAGCAGTTACTGACAAATAATTAGCGCAGTAGTGAAGCACTCCTAATTACTGTACTTTCTATACGTAAATGGAAAATCAACGGCCTACCGTTTTTTATTGAGGAAAATTATCTTATTGACTGTCTTTGAGGAAAGACGGCTTCTCAAATTTTTTTTATGAGAATTCCATCTCGTATCACTCATTTATTGCATTTATTTAATTATAATAATATTCGAATGTCGTTTCATTATTCGATCGTCGATCCATTCGACTGATAGTCGAATAGTCGACTATTCGTTGACATCCCTAGATATAAATCTTTCTTTTACAAACCTTTCATCATAATTTTTTCTTCAATAATTTACTTTATAAACAATGAGATATAACTTTTTTCAGTTACTGTAAAAGTGGTTATTTACACTGGTTGTTAAGTACGCGTTTGTGACCATCAAACATTACGCGGCGCACGAGTTACTGGAAAAAAATTACGCGGCCATCGTTTACTAACATCGAGTTGTTCCCCTTTGAAAAGGTCAAGTAGTTAACACGCATGAATAAGAAAAAAAAAAAATAGAAATAATTACATGTACAAACAAACTAAACAAAAGAATTTATACTGTTGGATTACTAAATATAACGGTGATCTGCACAGTCGAAAGCGATGAAGTGTGAACAACTGGTGTGCGCTTTATTGTAATTATTTACGCAAGCTCAAACTTCAAAGTGGGATCTACTTACCTGTATCTGTGCGGCGAGTGTTGGCAATTAATTCAATAGGTATGTTTTTAGTGACTGTGAGTTTGGGTAACATTTTGGACTAATTATTTGAAATTAAGAGGGACATACAAGTACATACAAAGGAAATGAAAATGAGTATCGATGTTTTTAAGCTTTAATTGCGTGACGTTGCTTTAAAATATTTAATATGAAGATGCATTTTTCATTGCACATTTAAAAAAAAAAGAACAGTTACATTTTCATCACTCTCTGTGATGTATTTATCTACTTACGTGCATTCAATACCACAATTAATATATGACTGGTTCGACCGGTTTAACAGTATAAGTCGTGGTCTAGAATGATTCCAGAAGTTTGAAATTTTGTGACCATACGCGCGGGGGTAATTTACGCGGTTCTTAGCTTACCACGTAAGTAGTGTAAATTTCCCCCACGCGTAAATAACCACTTTTACAGTATTTCTTTACTTACATTTTGAGGCTTTTATTCTGGTTTTCTTTAGATATCCGTGATTCAATTTCTGCCATTTCTTTCTTCATTCTCTCCAGCTCTTGTCTCAGCAACACCTGGTTCTAGGTTAAAAAACAGCAGTAGGTAGAAACAAAAAATTTTTATGTCCTTTACTTTCGTGTGTGTGTGTCCTTATTTGTAAACAATATAAATTTAGTCTGTCATTTTCTCTGCCTGTTATGCTATGGTTCTTCTTGTTAACATACTGTATAATCAGCTGATTTTTTTTGGCACAATTTACAGTAAAACTTGGTTATAAAGAACTCACTTATAAGGAAATCTTGGATATAATGAACTTTCTATGAATCCTGTAGAAGCCTTTTTACCATGTTTTTTTATATAAAGAATCTCAGGTACATGAAAACAAAATTTGAGGTCCCAATGATTCCTTAGAACCAAGTTTTCCTGTATTTTGAACTCACTCAAATCATCAAACTTTGTCCATGTTATACAACAAACATACCAGACTTTCAATATCAACATAACTTGTTACGATCTACTATTAGCACACCTTGATAGCAAATTTATCAAAACATACAAAATTTTTTAACTTATCAAGAAACGTTAATTCCTTTGAAACCCCTTGTTGAAATTGTGAGCTCATACCTGAGTGTTGTAGCCTTCACTCTGACTGGAAAAAGCTGATGACGAGGTCAGATTCATCTGGCGACTGTGTGAAAAATCTACAATAACAACAATTAAAAACTGTATAAATACTTTGTCTTGGTAAAGTTATATGAATTACTGTACAACTAGATTGATCAAATTTAAATGATAAATCATACTACCAGAATCATCTTCTTCATCTGAGGTAACAGAGGTTTTTGATTTCCAGTCCTCTGTCAAACCAGTTTCTTCTTCATCATCTGATATTATCACAGCTGTCTTCTTCTTCTTCTTCTTCCTTCCAATATCTTCCTCCTCTTCATCATTATTGCCATCATCATCATCATCAACGTCATCATCATCATCATCAGAATCAGATATCACAACCTTCTTCCATTTCCTTCCTCTATGAATCAATTTATCATCATCATCACTATCATCACTAAGGTCAACAAAGTTCTTCATTTCCTCTTTTTCACATCTTTTTTCTGATTTGGTTCCCATCCCTTCTGACTTCGTATCTCGCTCATATGATGGCACTTTTCCTTCCCAAACCTGCACAAAATCTACACTACTGTTCCCATTGTTATAATCCTCAACTTTCCGAGGACTATTATCAGGGGTCATGTCCTCTGGATTTATTATGTCCTCAGGAAGCAGGTCAAAATCACTGGAACTGCTATCATAAGGATCCACCTTCTTTTGTGGCAGGGCTCCTCCAGACTTGAGGGCACATTCAGATAGTCTTTCCTGAAAAAAATTGATTTTCTTCACAAATTAATTTTGGATGATTATTAGTATCAAAATACAGTGTTTAATACTATGTAGCACTATTTAATCATTTCTTTAGCAACAGAAACAGTTAATAAAACAGTATTTACTTTGTTTTGTGAGGTTTTTATGATATTTTTACCACAAAGAATTAATGATCTAAACAATATTAAATCCACTGACTTATACAGCTAGATTATACATTAAATGACATCTTTACCTTTTGCATTTCATCCTCCTCCTCCAGAATGTCTGGGAGAGGGGAACTCTCTAGAGAATGAAATAGAGGCTCATCGTCTGCTGCTGTCTCCATATAACTTCCTTCTTTTGTCACTGTTTTGGAATCACCAACAGTCCCTCCATTTCTGTCACCCTGACTGGTCCCCTGTTCTGGTTTTGGCTCAACAATATCCATATTTACCTTGTTGTCTTCTCCTTCTTGGATGCCATCCATCTTTAAAGAATCTTCTTTCACTGAAATTTGTGACTTTCCTGTACCTTTTCCCTTTCTTTTCTCAATGTCATCCTGCTCTAACTTTTCTTGAATGCATGTGGTTTTCTCATCTTCAATGTCTGTATCTCCTTCTTCATCTCTCACTGTCCTGGCCTCCATCTCTGTATCATGTTCTTCCTCATCACCTGGAAGGCTGTTTTCCACAGTCTCTGGTATGGTTGTAACCTCATCATCCACTTGATCAAGATCTTCCAAACCAACCTCCATTGTCTCTGGAACCACACCAAAACAAACAGGTGCTTCCACTGACTGATATCGCTTTTCTTTTTTCTCTATAATACTGATATCTTCTCTAGAACTGTTTGATGGTTCTCTATTACAGTCACCTCTATCTAATGCCTTAAGCTTCCTACATTCATCTGATACACTAAGAGGATCCTGTACATTCTTCTGCCTCAGTTTTCTTGCCAAACCTCTCACTGCCCTCTTGCCTGCATTACTAACATCACTTCTACTCGTTCTACAATTTTTCTGTGAATTGGAGTTCTTCAAAGAATCACTGTTTTCTGTCATTTTCCTATCCATTTGTAAAATATCACCATCACCAGGAACATCTCTAACACTTCTTAATCTTGATTTCTTTTGATGTAAAAGCTCTTCTTCATTTCTCTCAGTATCTGGTATAGTTGTCACAGTATGACTTTCAGAGTTCTTGCCTCCACTTTCCCCATAAGTTTCTTCATTGCTGCTGCCTCCACATTCCATGTATTCATTTGTTTGTTCTTTGACTTGACTGTACTCTTTCTTCACATTGCTTGATTTTTCCACATGATCAGTATCTCCATCCACAGTGTTGTCCACTTTTCCACTTCCTCTTTCAATACTTGATTTCACCTGACTGTCCCCAGTATCCATCTCACAAACACCGTCCAGATCACCCAGCTCTAGTTCCAGCAAACCTTCCTGGTTCTGAACCAGATCCTGGTAACCTGAACCAGAAACTGGTGTCTCCGAATCCATCAAGAAAACATCTTCAGGAGAGCTCTGTTGTTGCTTCTTTAATTTCATTTCTTGTTTCTTGATGCTTTTCAGTGACAGCTGGGTGGGAATTAATGCATCAATGGGGGTACTCTTAATATCCTCACTGCTTTTTACCTCAGAATGATTTTTCTCATAAATTCTCTGTTTTTTCTCTTTCACATCATTCACAATTTCCAAATCCTCTTTACATTTCCCTTTCTTTTCTATTTTACTGCTATTTTGTTTCACCATCTCTTCATCATCCACTCTACAGACATCATTTCTTGCTAGTGATTCCATCTTTGGACCTTTGTCTGGACTTGTCAGGGAGAAGCACTTTCTTTTTGGTCTCCTTAACTTGTAAGAGGAGCTCCGTAATGATTGGTTATTCTCTGATTTCATTACTAGTGATTCTCCCTCGGCAATGATTTCACAAGATGAAGACTTCTCTTGTATATCTCCCTCAGTTTCCTGTGATTTTATTTCAATGATATCTTTATTCTGTCCTTCATTCCTGTTCACAGCCATAAGATTTTCTTTTGAAGAAGCTGGTGAATTTTTCTCAACAATCTTTTCAAATGTTTTATGGACTGGTGCCAAAATTGAAACACTTTCTTGGGTGCTACATAAACTAGACAAGGACTGTTGCGAATCTGTCATTATGGCTGTATTCTCTTTCTGTTTCCTTGACATTTCAGTGACTTCCTCCTCAGTTGTTTTAACTTCTCCCTGCACTGGAGTCTCTGGAATGACAGATGAAGCAGCTTTCCTCTTACCACGCTTTTTGTCTGAGTTTCTCAACTTTCTTTCTTCGTAGTCTTGGCTATTTTGTGTTTCATTAGATTGTTGAGTAGATGTACTTTCAGAACTTCTTAACTTCCTTCCAGCAGAAGTTTGGCTATCCTGCGTTTCACTTGATAAATGTGTAGATGTACTTTCAGAACCTTCTTTTCCACTTTGATGTTCCAGTACAACCATATCACTGACAGACATATCCACAGAAGGTGGAATTATGCTTTCACTCATTTCTTTTTCTTTGGCACAAGGCATGTTCGTTGATAAGTTGGTATCTGTTCTATTTGTGTGAGTCTCTTCACATCTCGCAGCAACAGGACTCTTCTTACTTGTTTGTTCTTTATTGCTTTTCTTTAATCTACTTTTCCTGATAAGATTCTTCTTTTGTGGAGGGTTGCTAGCATCAGTAATAAATGTTTCACTGTCAATGGCAATAAGTGGGGTCTCAGGAACAACATTTAGGGAGTTGACATCTGCCCCTCCATCTGAGATATTGATCGTCTGACCATTTCCCACCCTGTCTAACTCCTTCCCTCTGTCTACAACAGGCAAATCTGGAGACTTCTCCAAATCTTGATTTGTAAATCCTCGTTTTCTGTCCCCTTTATTTAAATTAACATTGTATTCATCCAGTTTGCATCCTTCTTTAATTTTGTTCCTTGTCGAGTTCTTTGCCTTTGTTGTCTCCTCTTTGATAGATTTTTTGAGGTACTTGGGAAAACTTGTGTCATTCTTTAAGTCTTCACTGTTGGGAACTATGTCCACCTCCATAACAGTCCCAACATATTCTGTGATGTTCTTTCCCTTCACAAAATTGTTAGGAGTAAGATCTTGAGAACTCAGTTTCTCCAGAATTTCTTTGGGTTGAATATCTGAAGGAAAGATTCTACAATTTATGCTTTTAAAAAAACAAAACTACTTCATACCAAATATTTACCAAGGCAATAAATGTTTAAATTAAGACACACACCATGTAACAAGAATACAGTTCTGAAATCTGCAGTTTTCATACATGTTAGTAATATGATACTGTACATCTAAAAAATTTACGTAAATTTATTTTTGCGAATTTTGGTCAAATTTTTACATTTTTTAAAATATTGCAGGTTCACATCCTTGCTGAAAAAATAATGGAAAAACAACTAAAAATTCTAAGCATTTTTTGTTAATCGTTCATGAAGACATGTACACTAAATTCAAAGGTGGTGAAATATTTCTGTATTGCTTGTATGTGAAAATAGATCCTGTACATGTATTCAAGGTCTGTTATTTCAGTAAGTGTGTGCACTGGGAAATTCCATGTCACTTGGTGCACACTTACATTTAGATCAGGTAGTAAAAATAAGAAAATAGGTGCCATAGGCAATAATGGGCTGCAGATAATTGATAATTGGTATACTGAAAGGGTGCTGTGGTCAAATGTTTGACAAAAAAGTCTCATTCATTACCGCTATCGTCTCCAAATTAATGTGATGTCGTAAAGAAACATATCAGAAGTGAAGGATTAAATCAGGTAAAGCCAAAAAAAATAATAGTCTTGTTTCCTGCTACCGACCTACCCTATTTTTTTGCACCCGACCCTAAAGTTTTTTTTAAGTTTTGGAAGAAAAAAAATCGGGAATTTCCAGAATTTCATCGTTCTGTCACCGTAATACGTTGCATAGAAGACATGAAATTTAATTTTAAAAGACAATATTGACCTGTGACATGTTTAATTTTATCTTGTATTAGTTCATATCCAAAAAATGCTCTCGGAAAAAAATAAAATAAAAATATAAAATAAAATAATTTTCCTACCTACCTACCCTATTTTTTTTCAGGCTGGTAGCAGGAAACAAGACTATGATTTTTTTTGGCCTAATCAAACCTTCAGATAAAATTTACTGATCAAGAATAAAAATGCATGTATTCGAGTTCATTTGAGTTGAAAGACATATTAATTTAAATCAATTTTTTTTTTTGTTGAAAAATGTATGAATAAAAACATTATAAAAGTAAGAGTTTATACATTCACACAATTTAAAATTTGTTTCAACTTAATTGACTTAAGGTTTATTTTGATTTATTTTTATGAACAACATTTTTGTGAATTCAGTGCATGTGCAATATTGCCAAAAATTTATTCACAGTAAAAATTTCCAGATTTACCGTACATTTGATTCAGAAGAAAAAAATCCCATGCTACAAGTATATTAATAGAAAGTAAAGTGCACCTAAATTTGGAACTTCAAACTCAGACTCCTCTGGCTGAATGTCAAGGTCAGTTGTGGAGGACGAATTTACATCATCATCATCATCATGATCATCCTCAATGGAGGAAGTGGTTGTTTTGTTTTCAACTACAACATAACATAAAAGAAATCAGTACCTTTTAACAGCAAATAAATTAAGCGAACAATCATTCATTGAAACATTGTTAATAACTGGACACCTTGTGATTTAATTTAAGTTCATTTATAAAGATATGAGATTCAGAAGATAATTATTTGCTATCCTTTACTTTAAAAATAGTAATAACAACTTTTACCCTCTAGAAACTTTAATAAATTGAAGAAATATCTACCCAAAATAAAAGTTATACATTTTCCAACTAATTTCCAACCACTTTTATGTAATTAAAAAACACATATTTAATGCAGCTGTTACCTTCACTTCCTGTAGATGACAAAATATTTTCAGAAATTTCACCAATCAAGTTTTCAGAAATGTTGTGCACTTTGTGTTCTTCCATCTTTTCTATTTCATGACAACCTTTCGTGCCATTGTCATACATAAACAATTTCTCTGTTCGTTGATCTTGTTCTTCTTTTTCAGAAATTGTAACATCTGCTTTATCAATAGAATGCTTTCCAACATTGTTAGATTGGGTTTTTAGATTCTTTGGAGATTCACTCATCCCTTTCAAGCTTTTAACTCCGCTCTGATTCTGAGAACTAATGAAGATCACATCGTGATTAAACGAAACAATCTTTTTATTTTTTGAGGAGCCATCAGGCTCTCCCTCAGTACCATTTTCTTCCTCTGTCAGGTGATCTATCACTTCCTGTGTACAGGTCACAAGGTCATAGCTTTCCGCTTGACTGATTTTGTCTCTCATTTCCTCCAGAGCCTCTTCCTCATCCTTCTGCCTCTGTAAAGCTTTGGGGGACAGTTTCTTCTTCCTCCCTTCACCAGCCTCCTCACCTCCACTTCTGCTGATCATCCCTTCCACATTATCACCACCTGCCTTTTTAAGAATAGATTTTCCACTTTTCCTGCTCAGCATGCTCTGAACATCTACACTGATCTGACCTTCCTTTCTCTTGTCTTCTCTTGCCTTTTTCCTCTGGACTCTTGGCTTGACTGGAGCGACTGGGCTGGACTTGAACTCATATGGATCAGAGTCATTACCAAAGGTATTCAAATCCAATTCCCTGAGTTTCAAGCTCTCTTTGTGAGTCACCACAGGTGTTTCTTTAGGTTTGAGTGGTTTCACTCCTTTGCCTTGATCAATCCCTGATACAGACCTGGGTTGAATTTTTTTGAAAAGAAATTTTCCTTTCTTTTGTTTAACTGAAGTTTCCATATGTTTATTGTTTCTTGTTGTCTTGAAGATTTTGTGTGCTACATGGTCCCCCTTTTCACCCATGGCATTTTGTGACTTGGTTGTTGGAGGAACATTATCTGAACAGACAGGAAGTGATGTTAAGGCTGTTTGACTGTGTACAGGATTTTTGTCACTTGTATTTGCTTGCTCCTTCTCTTCTGAATTTGCTGTTTCTGGTGCACTGGAATCACATGACACTATCTCAATTTCCTCCTCCTCCTCTCCCTCTTTTTCCACCAAGTTCTCACCATCATCTCCCAAATAACTCAGCTGTTCCAAGCTGTCTCCATGCATTAAATCCTCAGACTCTGGAAAATAAAAACAAACTGCTTGTTATACATTCTTTCAGTTGCTATGTAATATACTCATGTTCATGAACTTACATGTTAATTTCTACATACAAAATTTCTGCAAATAAAAATAGAAATTTTTGAACTCTTATTAACTATTGTAACTTGACAATTAACAAGTCTGTGCTCTGTTATTGAAACAAACATACTACCTTGCATATCACCTTGAACTTTCTCTTGTACACTGTTATTAGTGAGCCAATCTTTCACCTTGGATACACTCCTGACATTTTTACGACTGACAAACTGCTTGTCATATGTTCGGGTCACTGTCGCAACATGTGGTGTACTCTCTGGCAATGAGCTAGGTTCAGAATGACCTTGACTTTCAGAATAACCTTGAACTTGTTCATCATCACAGATATCAACTTCATCGCTGTCCTCTTTATAATTCTTCCTATTCTGGAGTCTGAGGAGATGTCTCTCAGAATTCAAGTTTTCTGTTGTTTTCCCCCATTCTTCACCTTTTTCAGGTACTGACACCTGTGAGGTACTTCTAGTTCTTGATTTCAGATTTGTATCTACCAGGTCTGTGTTACCTGTAGTTAGAGCTTTGGAGTTAATGCATGATGGATCACCTTTTTCTGACATAGCTCCATGGGAACCAGACCTAAGATATCTCAGAATCTGATCTGTTTTAGATTCCTCTTTGTTTCCTTTGCTGTTAACAATTCTGTGATATAAGTCTGTATCGATGTTGCTTTGGTCTGTTTCTACACCATTTGTGTTAATTAAATCATCTGTCCCTGTGATATCTTGAGTAGAGTCCTTGACCTCTGGGGTAATGTCTGATTTCCGCCTCTTGCTCCGGCGAACGTTACTTTTCCCAGATATTCCCTGTTGAAGTCAATAAACATTTTTGTAAAGCTATCATTTAATCAGTGCACATATTAACATGCCTTTATTAACAATTTTTACAAATCGTATTCCAAGATTTTCTGAAGTTTTTACCTTTTTCTCACTAACAGCAATCTTTCTCTTTGTACCCTTGGCCTCTTTTCGAGGCAGCTGCTCAGGGGTACAGGACAGGAGATTGGCAGAGGACGAGGCCCTGGGAGGGGAACCTGAGAAAAATAAAATAACATGCTGTACTTTGACATAATTCAGAGCATGCCTTGATTTAACAGTCCTAAAACAACTTTTGTCCTTTCTTTATACAAATTTCTTTAAAAAAGTGTGATAATAAATGTGATGCAACAACTGCATCAAAGAACAAAAAAGACTTTTCTTTAACCAGATGCTATTGATCAGTGAAACTTGATTCTGTACATTAATTCTAGTGACACTAAATACATAGCAGGCCAGAAGTGGCCAGTATGTTTAAAATTCATTTAATAAAATCTTTTTATCAGATCATTTATCTTAGCTTACAAAGAATACCCAATTTAGAAAACAATTTTTGATAAATGAATGTCTACAACAACCCTCTATGAAATAAAATGTTCAACACATACACTTGTGTCCAGTGTCTTTTGAGAAGGCCTCCGGTAACAGGCGGACATTTTCCACAATGTGTGACAACTGAGGACGGTCATTTAGGCTTCTACAAAAAATCAAGCACACACTTAGAAATGCCATTATTGTCTGAAAAAAAAATGTGTTTTCCCTGATCTATTTTCTTGGTTTTCTGCAATTGTCTTTTTTAAGCATTTTGAAAAAAAATCTGTACCGCAGTTGTTCTTCTGCATGTATTAACTATCCCTTTTAAATACAGTTCTGTGTATCACAAAGCAGCATATTTTCTTAAACTCCTCTTCTTCAATATTCTAGATGTCCTATGTGCTTAATGGGGCAAATACAGCAATGAACGAAATAAAGAAACATAAAACTCAGGTTTAAAGGATTTCAGAAAGACATACCGTTTTGTGATTGGACATTTACAAAGAGGACATGGCACAGAGGTCTTAGTCTTCAGGAATTCTGTGATGCAGAACCTAGAAAATATAATCAGTTTACAAGAGTTAGAAAGCAAAACTTTCAATAAACCATCATCACCGGAATAAGTCTTCAGCTAAATTTTCACATCTTATTTACAAAAGAGGTCATTGTTAGTGGGCTTATTTACCTGCAAAATGGATGATCACATTTTGTGGATACTGGATTTGTCAGCAAATCTAAGCTGAAAATAAAAGGTACAATGTTAGCCTTATTAATGTGTGCTTGTAAGTCTTTTGCTTATCTAAGTCTAGTTATTTTGCAAAGGAACTAAACAGTATACATTTATTGACTGGGTTCAAGGGCAACATGCGTTTTGTCAGACCCAAGAACCAAACTGTTTGCCTGAGACCGTTAGGCCGAAGGCAAACAGTTTGGTTTGAAGGGTCGACAAAATGCATTTTGCCTGAGAATACAGTCAATAAATGTTTTGTTATACCTTTTTTTAATTTATTTTAATTTTTTTTTGACATACATGTACAATGTATGTCAAATACCAACAAATGCAAATGAGATTTAACTAACTCTGCCCACTGTGTGACGTAAGCAGTCCAACATCTCATCGACAGGTCCAATATCTCACTCCGCGGTCAAACATCGATTTTGTTTTATGCCCGCTCAGTAAAACATTGGAAATGTTAGACTTTTATTAGTATTGATTGATATAGGAACAAATTTTTAAAGGTATAACAATATATATTGCTATGACAATAAATCAAGATACAGTTAAATGAAAAGTGTTTCCAACAGTCACTCAAATTGTCAGTGAAATATAGTTCCTATGAGAAATAAATATTTTCAACATGTTGAAATTACCTTTTCTTGAAGAAATTCCTGAACACACTTCCTCTATGAATAAGTCTTTATTTAGACTTAGTTTAACAAAGATTAACATAATTATGTAGAATTTCAATGTCAAATTACATCTCAATCAGTTACAATTATGGCACATTTGTCAGGTCTGGTGCAATCCCTACATTTAGCTACCTAGCTTGAATTACCTACATAATTTTATTTAGCTTTTCAAAGGAGCTTTGTTTAAGCTTCATGAAATATGCCGGCGTGAAGCGTCGTATTTCATGTCCTCATGAATTCTCAAAAATTAAATTCCTTATAACAATCACGTTTCAACCTTCGCGCTGGGAGTAGGTTTACTGACTCTTACCAAATGGAACATTCTAAATTTTTCTGCATGAGACCCAGTATATCTTGAATAGTCGTTGTTCTTGAATCCATTCTCAAAAAGAACCTCCAATTAATTTGAGTAAAACAGTTTTCTCGATTTCATAACCCATATCTCCCGCGTTTGTGCTTTTAATTGTTTTCAAACATTAGAGAGCAAACTGGATAAGTCGTACTTAAAGAGGGAATGGTCGGTGTAAAAGTAGAATCCATAGCCCTTTGCGCTTTGTCATTTTTCATGCGAGGATCAAGAGGGGGGTCGGGGAGGGGGGTTCGGACCCCCCCTGGAATCTGTAGAGTTAATAAAAGTATATACTGAAGCAAATAAAAAATGACTTTGGACCACCCCCCCCCACCCCCAGAAAACGTGGACCCGACAATCACCACCACTGACGAAATAAGTGTTTTTTCTCGTTTGTGAAATGGATTTTGTTTATTTGTCAAGAAATTTTTGGGTTGGAATTTTTTTTACTGGAATGGACCATCCCCCCCCCCCCCCGGAAAAAATTCCTGGATCCGCGCCTGAGTTCCCCATATTCAAGTTAAGGACATACGAAATGTACCTTACCTACTGATAATTTTTCAAGATATTCTTAATTTAAGATTATAGTGCCATCAGATGTTCATAGACAAAAAATCAGCATGCATTACCAGGGGTTTTGAAAAGATATCAAATGATGAATATTCTTGTATAATTCAAAGAAAAATTTACAAAAATTACTAAACATATATTCTAGATGTTTTGTTTATCCAAACTTGTTCTAGAAGAAGTGCACAACAGCATATATAGACAATAAATGTAGAACTCATTTCCTTTAAGTATTGGAAATCTTCAACTCCAGGGAAAAAGGCAACAAAGTTCAAACTACGTTGCGTATGTCCTTAAAAAAAGACCATGCACGTTAAGACCAGAAAAGCAAAGTGACAGCACCTTTCATAATTATACTAGATTTTGATCTTAAAACTTCCTAAGAATGCGTTTATAGAAATCTTTAAAACCTGCAAATAAACTCGCTTTGAAATTAATTGATGAATTACACCTGATTTCCCAATCAAACCAAGTTCCATGGCAGTAGGACCCAAGGTGGGGGTCTCCCATTAATTTTGCCGATATATATAGTACATGTACATGTGTGCTTAGGAAAAATGATGCCCCTCAATAATTTCGTTTATTCCCCTCCCCCCTTTTTTGCTTGTCAAGGAATTTTGGGAGTGCCCACATAAATTGATAATGTTGTGCCCCCCCCCCCTCCAACAGAAATTACTTCCTACATAATTATACAGAACGAGGCCGAGTTCAACTTCATTCTATAATAAGTTCAATCAAACATGTAATGTTTTGAAATTACGTAATTTTATTTTGACTCACTGATACAGTTTGCACACGACACCGTCCGTTTACTTCTACGGACTCTTTGCACCCATTACTAAATATTTCGTGGGAACTCACCTTCTAGGCTTCTATTCCTCTTTCATTTGGCGCCGAATTCTCCAACAGACTGGTTGTGTAAAGGATAAGGTATGTTCTTTTTAATCTTGGAATTATAGATGTGAATATACGAAAGCCCATTGAGCTCATTTTGGTAGGTAAAAAAATTATATTTTTCGCGTTATAACGCAAAACTTTCGCGTTATAACGCGAAACTTTTGCGATTAAACGCGTAACTTTCGCGTTATAACGCGAAACTTTCGCAAATAAACGCCTAACTTTGGCGTTATAACGCGAAACTTTAGCGAATAAACGCGAAACTTTCGCGTTATAACGCGAAACTTTCGCGAATAAACGCGTAACTTTCGCAAATAAACGCGTAACTTTCGCGAATAAACTCGAAACTTTCGCGTTATAACGCGAAATAATATATTTATAGTCATGTTACTCAGGAACCTGTGATGTTGACTGACAGATAAAAACATGAACGCAGAGGGGGACTTCTATGGATTTATAAATGACATTTCTTCAGAAGATGTAAATGAGAATTGATGCGAGAAATGGATAGATTAAAGTTGATTTTGCATTTAATCTCAAAACCTTACTAATTAATTAAATGAATATTCCTTTAAAGATTTTCTTGTTTTTCACTTGTTGAATCCAAGAAATTCTTTAGACTAATTTTTTCTCAGGAAGATCTCCACTCGTTGCTTTCTTTGAATAAATCGTCAATGCTTTCGTAAGTAGTGGTATGACCAAGTGGTGCAACCCTAAAATACAATGTTGTATTTCTACAGTGAGTCTATTGGAGATGAATCATTTGATACGAATATTTGTCATACAATTTTCACATGTTACTCATGTGATGTGACACAATTGTTCCGTGAAATATACGAATTTACCTCATTGTTGTCAATTTTCTGAGATCTTTTATTTCAAATTCTACAGAAAGTGTTCAATCTAATTAAAATTAGACTTGTATTTTCGCTCCTCTACTATACGCTTCAACACTTGTATTGAACAGCATTGAGAAAGACAAAATGTGACGACAAAAAAGATTTAGAAAGAAGAAAGACACGTTCAATGGCGAGAAAACATAAAATTTCAGCTTGTGATAATCCAAGTTCAAAATAGTCTTTCGTTTTTCATTGTAATGAATAAACTAGATCATTAAAAAGTAAAACAAACTGTAGACTTATGCAAATGTCTCTGTTTTTCAGGTAAAGTTTCGCGTTATAACGCGAAAGTTACGCGTTTATTCGCGAAAGTTTCGCGTTATAACGCGAAAGTTACGCGTTATAACGCGAAAGTTACGCGTTTATTTGCGAAAGTTTCGCGTTATAACGCGAAAAATATATTTTTTTTACCTACGAAAATGAGCTCAATGGATGGGCTTTCGTAATATAATTGTTAAAAGAAAAATAATTATCTGTTTAAGTATCTCTTCTTAATGTTATAAAAATATTAATATTAATCATCATCTTGTGATTTCTAAACTGTTTTCAAAATGTCTTAAATGTTTTGCAGAAATGCCTGGTAAGATACACTTGCCTCAGTTTTTTGTGAGTTACATGTAACTTGTTAAAGTAGTAATACTTTAACAGCTGATTAAATTTGTTAATGACAAATTCTAGGGGAAATTAATTACTGAGGAACGTGTCGTCTGACCTTAAACTTGTTAAATGAGCGACCCGACTATATGTATATGAATGTAGCTTTTGCGAGCTGCGACGTTATAATTATGTTAAAATTGAATGCATACTTTTAACTTTTTTACAGAAGGTATTCACTAATACAGAAGAAAAAAAAATGCCTGGCCCATACAATTGCCGAGAAAGTAAGTCTGAGATTGTCAGCTTATGAAATTGAATGCATATATTCGTGTGTATTTTTGGATATATTTTGGTAGTAAATTATACATATCAAATCTCTAAACTCTGAAGAGAAATTTTAAAATGGAAAACTTTCATATTTTGGTAGTAATTGATACAAATATCAAATTAAAACTATGTATGATCAACATGATCAATGTTCAATTTTTTTACTTTCTGTCATGAAAATTATTAGAGTTATCGCTCTGATCTAGGGTGTAATAGCAGCCCGGAGGACCGGGCTGCTCTATACATATAAGTTTAAGTGTTGGTATATGGGGATTGAGGTGGGAGAAGTTATTCAGAATGAAAGGTTTTCTAAACATTAAAAAGATTGTTAATCAGAATGTTCTTTCCCTTTATAAATTACGAGATATACAATATATTTACTTCCATAAAGTGAATCTGTAAAAATATATATGTTTTTCATATTTTAATTAATATATAAAGTTGCTTATCATTTACTATCGAAAAAACGACAGGTCCCTTTTTTTAGAACATCGAATTTTACTTATCGCATAAAAACGTAAAAACGTACTTTACACAGTTCGTGTTTTATATTCTTAAGGTGAAAGACATTTATTTTTGAAAATAGGTGATGCATGTGTCTGATTTCAAATTATATTTTACGCAGCCAACATTTACTTGAGGAATTGATAAAGTTTAAAAGGGTATCGTTTTTGTTCGATTTTCATCCGACTATGTTTTCAAAATATTCTCGACTATCGTCTCCATCATTTAGACGCATGCCTTTTTCACACATATCGAAGCGATTTGATGATCAAGACTCATTTCCATTGTTTACTTTATTTATTTCCCGGGCGACAATTGATGGTTACATCAATGTTTTCTTGTTTTTCTTACATGTAGGTGGAATGTGTCAGTGCGAGGAAAGTCAAACCTGTCCATCCAGTGTATGTAAATGTGGACCCGGATGTAAATGTGGACCTGGGTGCAAGTGCACTGGATGTCAGCTGAAATGAAGCTGTAGCGGTGAGTTGATTTTATATATATATATATATATTAATTAAATTGATTTAAACATATGAATCAAAGGCGGATCCAGCGCCGGGCGTGCACCCCCCCCCCGTTTGAAGTTTTTTTTTTTTTTTTTTTTTAAAATTTTGTTTATATTATCCTCAAATCAAGGGAAAAACACCTCTTATTTGTTAGAATTCCTCAGTTTCCGGGGGCTACGCCTCCGAACCCTTACCAGAGCTTTGCCCTGGACCCTCTGGGGGCTTCAATGCAGCCCCCCAGACCCCCTGCTTCTACTGCGCCCCCCCCCCCCGTTATGAAATTCCTGGATCCGCCGCTGTGAATGAATTATATTTGCCCAACATGATTAATTTCTTGCATCGTCGCAAACCACGGCCAAATTATACGATCCTCTCCCGTTCTGGAGAGGGCTACATGTATGTGCGGACTCCGAACCGTGGCTTGAGACGTTTTCCTTGATACTTGAGATATTCGATGCATAAATATCAAAACAATTACCTTTATCTTTCAAAGAATCAGATTAATAAGAAAAAATGTCTTTAATATAATAACATTCCATAAATCAAAATAAATGAAGCTTAACCAAGAGATTTTTTGCAACATTAGCTCAAAAAAGACAGATATGACTTAATATTTACATCTGCTGAATATTTTCTCCTTTATTTCTAAAGAAAACCATTGCCATTTATCAGTTCATGAACAACACTATAGGCATACATGTATCACATGTACAGACTTCAACTCGAAAACTTTTGTTTGATTTCGTATTAGCTGCAATATTGTATCCGTCTCCGATTTTTTTTAGCTCTACTGGTCAGAGACCATGCAGAAGAGCTTATGCGATAGTGAAGTGTTCGTCTGTCTGTTTAGCTGTCTGTCCGTCTGTAATTTTTTTTTTTAAATGGTACCCCTTCTACAATTTTGGTTTGGTTAATTTATCGTAGAAGATAATGATAATAAACAGTTTGCCAATACATTTCCTCTGAAAGGGTAAATGAGTGCGATTCTGGGGAGGGGGGGGGGGACTTCATGTAATTCGGAGTTATGTACCTTCTGTTATTATTATACTAAGGGTTGAAAAATGTTATTACCGAAACAAGTGCCTGTGCCTCTCCTGAAAACATCAGATAAAAAAAACCAGAAGGCTACATTATTGCAGCTAATTTGGTATATACTACTTGGCCATAATCATATGAACTAAACATAATATAATGTTTGAAAACAAACAATTTCACATTCTCTACCATCGGCTCATACATTCTCTACCATCGGCTCATACATTCACCTCTGTCGTTGGCTCACAGTGATAAACACGAGAAATAGTGCGCTTGTTTGAATTCATTTTAATTAAATGTCTGGGGTAATAATAGTCCTTAAAGATAGATATTTACTAAATAAATATAAAACTATCAGTTTAATTTGAAATAATCCTTGAAATGTTATGTTTTTAACGTTATGTCAAAAATCTTGACGCGAGCCCATTGCAGAGGTGTCTGAGAGAGGAATGAATGACAACTCTGCATAGGAGATTGACAATTTCAATGCAAATCTTCATGTCACTTCGCTCATTCACAAATTTTAAGATAGTTTCACCTGCATGCACATGCGTTTCAACTTAATGCATGGGATATTGAAAAGAAGTTTTATTTTCCCAAATGAAAAGAAAAACCTCGCCTCGTTAAGAAATGCATGGTACCCACTCGGAACACCTCGGATTCGTACTTCATCTAACGAGGTTTGATGAAGGCGACGGAATCATCCGAGGTTAGCCGAATGGCATGGTTCCTGTATTTGTCGCAGAAAATAAATTAAATTCCCATATTTTTTGTTACAAACCCTCCAGATCTGACAATTAACTGAAACTTACCTTAATTAAAATGACCACGGAATGTGATTAATTCCTAGTTGCTAGTCAGATTATTAGGACCATTACTTTTTCGATATTACATAATGAATTAGACTAAAATTTTGTCTTTCAAGGATTTAACTTCAGTCATCGAAATCCATGAATTTTTTTTTTTTTTTTTTTTTTTTTTTTTTTTTTTTTTGTATTTAACAGTGTAAGGAGTTAAAAAATGTCAAACATCATGCATCATGTTTTAGCGGTCTATACTCGATATCAGAAAACGAACAATAGGTCGATTTCAGGTTTATTTGAATAAGAATGAATCTTGTTTAAGCATTAACTTCCATTACACTTACCTTATTACCGCGGGTATATCGATATTATTGTAAAATGTCATATTATAGTAACAGATCTTGGATCATTTTTGTTTTCTCAGTGAACTGCTATGTCCTTTAGAAACTTTAATGTTCAGTTGGTTATTTGAAGCAACTTTTTGTATTTATATACCCTGAATTGTTCTTTATCGTAGAATGATAGAGATGCCCATGGGCAAAGTATCATTTCAAAATTAAAATATATAGAAATTAATATTTATCAAAATAGCATTTGGTCTAGAGATCCATAAAAATATTCTTCATAAATTTTGATGTATTAAAATGCATATAGGTCATCAATCATCATGCAAATTTTAGAGCTATTTAAAGAGATTTTTCAAGGGGAAATAACTCTTGTAATTAACACTGAATGCTAATTAATAAAAGGATTCTTTTAGATCCTGTAGTTTGTTCTTGTTATCCCTTCGCAACGAAGTTGGAGGAGATATAGTAATGCGCTGGTGTGTGTGTGGATGAGTGAGTGCATGCGTAACGGAAGTTACGCAAGTAATAATTTATACCGGGGTCGATGTGCTCTTTTGCAAGGGGATACTCCACTTTGCGATGCCATTGTTATTCAATCTCATTTCAAAAGCATTATGTTAGCTGAATATATACCAAAATTAGCAATTATATATATCCCTCTATCATTTATTGAATACCTTAATATACGTTATAATAAAAAAAAATGTACAGAATTTTTTTTCTGTTTTTTGGCAGGTAATTGTGCATGTGGAAAAGGCTGCACCAGTCCTGAATCTTGCAAATGCGCAAATGACTAGCTGCAAAAATTGAAATATATAGTCCTGTGGCCGTCAGGAATATCTCATGTTTCACAACCAAAGAACAAAATACATGTAAATAGATTTTCCAGTTAGATAACAAAATAAATTGATTTTCCAGTTACATCTGTCATGTTATTTGTATAGTACTAGTATATGTGATTTTTCTCGAAATTTACGTGTATTTTTTTTTTTCAAATTCAGATTCGAAATGAGATATGCAAATGACATGTATCTAGTATTTTATGAAAGGATGATGTACCATATGGCCCCTGGTAAATTGCCAAAAAATTAAATATCTTAATTTTTACTCTAATTTTTGCATGTACTTTATCACTGATTTGTGTACTCTCATGGAATATTATTTTTTTACCGAAAATAGAAACATAATTTGGAAGATATTTTTCTTTATTTTGAGTAGGATACCATGTTTACATCCAATTCCCATTCAATTTTGGTCCCGCCCCACTCTTTGAAGCCCTTAAAATATGCGAGGGCAAGTAGGTACATTTTTCTCCTTTGGCTGGTCGCTGTATTTTAAAGAAATCTACCTAGATGTGAAAGGAGAAAATTGTACCTATATGCGCTCAAATGTTGTGTTTTAAAACATTGTAAATTCTATCTGGCTTTCCCCATTATGAACAGATTGACGAAACTTTTTTTCCAGACGTAAGAATAAATTCATATGCTAATCGAGGCACCGGCGTGACTTTCTAAGCGACCAATGAACTACTGAAATGAGTTGCATTACGAGTGAGTACCACAAAAATACTAGGGAAATTTAATGCTTGCAAAAAAGGCATTTTTTTACTTGCTTTCCGATAAACAATTTTTATGTATACGATCGCAGATTAGACACGAATAGATCTACATTATCCCTGCTCTCAATTCCTGATTTATAAATGTACACTGTATGATTTCACAGTTTTGTAAAGCGTTTGGTGGGCACATTGGCCACAGGAGTGAATACACGTTTCATATGTGCATTTCTTGACACAAAAACGGTAAACGCTGAGGTTCCATACTTATTGTCATGTATAAAAAAGCCTTTGCTGGCCATTCAAAATTTGAAATGTAGTGGAGATAATGTGTCTGTCTGCACGGATCTAGAGGGAGGTGGGGGGTGGGTCCTTTTTTTCTGGAAGAAATTCCTGGATCCGCGCCTTTTTTTTTAAATAGAAAATAACGAATATATTGACGGATTTCTACATTCAAAATTGCACACATATTTGCGTCATGGCCATCACATAAGACAAATAAACCGATTTATTTTCACACATCGCACGCTCCACTAAGAGGCACACAATTTCGAAGCTGAAATTTGATTGATATACCGGCATCGGCACCTGATTAAAGAAACAATATCAGCAATCTATCTTTATATGCGCGATGTTTAGAAGTCCAACTCTGGGAAAATTAACATTTCTATTCATTTTTACTTTATAAATCATAGGAACTCCCCAACTTAGTTGTTAAACATAGTTCTTCTACCAGTATATTATAAGCATAACGTTATGTTTATAGTATTGTAGATCTTTTTTAGGTCACCCGAGTCACACTTGCTATCCGTTTTTGTCTGTCGTCGTGCGATGTGCGTTAACATTTGAACATTTTTAGCTTCTTCTCTGAAACCGCTCAACCAATTTCAACCAAATTTGGCAGATAGCATCTATGGATTAAGGGGAACAAAAAGTATGAATTTCATGGTCCCTGCCGCCCTGGGGCCTGAGGGGTGGGGCTAAAACCACCAAAATTAATGCAGTCTTTAAAAATCTTCTTTACTCCTGGACATCAAGCAGTCAAACTGTTGGCCTGTAATAAGCATTGAGCCCTCTACCAAAATTGTGAAATTCATGGCCCCAGGGTCAGGGGTTCCGGTGCTAGGGTGGGGCTATAAAGATCATATAGTGAAAGTGCATTATTTCTTTGAAAATCTTCTTCTCTGCCCCTGGGTATTAAATAACTAAGTACATAGTTATGATGAGCAAGAGTGCCTCTTCCGAAATTGTGAATTTCATGGCCCCAGGGTCAGGGGTTCTGGTGTTAGGGCGGGGCTCTATTGATTATATAGTGAAAATGCATTAATTCTTTGAAAATCTTCTTTTCTGCTCCTGGGTATTAAATAAACAAACTAAGTATATAGTTATGATGAGCAAGAGTGCCTCTTCCAAAATTGTGAATTTCATGGCCCCAGGGTCAGGGGTTCTGGTGTTAGGGTGGGGCTCTATTGATTATATAGTAGAATTACATTAATTCTTTGAAAATCTTCTTTTCTGCTCTTGGGTATTAAATAAACTAAGTAAGTACATAGTTATGGTGAGCATGGCTGCCTTTTCAGAATTGTGAATTTCATGGCCCCTGGATCAGGGGTTCTGATGTTAGGTCTCTATATGATTATATAGGGAAAATGCATAAATTCTTTCAAAATCTTCTTCTCTGCTCCTGTGTATTTTTCAAACAAAGGAAGTGCATGGTTATGGTGAGGAAGAATGCCTCTACCAGAATTGTGAAATTCATGGCCCCTTGGTAAGGGGTTCTGGTGATGGGGAGCTCTATTGATTATATACTTGAAAATGCATAATTTCTTTCAAAATATTTTTTCTACTACTGGTTATAAAGTAAAGAAACAAGTGTATAGTTATGATGAGCAAGGGTGCTTCTTCCAGAATTGTGAGTTCATGGCCAATGGGTCAGATGTTCTGATGTAAGGATGGAGCTTTATTTATTTAATAATATAGTGAAAATGCATTTCTTTGAAAATCTTCTATGCTTCTGGGGATGTTCAAGGCAAACAGAGTGAAAGTTTTAATATGCAAGGGTATTTTTACCAGAATTTTGAACACCTGGACCATTTAGTCAAGTGTTCTGGTCCTGGTCAGGGCTCTATTAACTTGTATTCTGTTGAGCAAAGTTATTCCCCTTTGCCATTCACCTTTGGTAATTAATCAATGTAAATAATGTATTTGAAAGCTTAATAGAATAAGAGAATTATGCAAGAATATTTATTGTATAATACAAAAAGTACTTTCATAGTTTTAATGACTTGGAAATAATAGATGAATAAAAATGAGACAAAAATAACTTAACTTTTAAATGTACTTCATAGGCCAGGAGAGGCCAATGTGAGAAGTAATAATATCGGGTTAAAAAATAGACATTTTGTTAATAGTCTGCATGGTAATACTGATAAATGGGGGGGGGGGGGCAAATAGATACTAGACCAATTATTTTGTTGATGCTAATCATACTATTTTTCTTGCTTTTGGGCAACAAAGCTTCATTTATCAGTTTATGGATCCTGTAAATTGTTGTATTGTACTCAGGTGACCGTTAAGGCCCTTAGGCCTCTTGTTCTTTACTCGTATTCAGAATTTATTAAAACATGTAACACTTGTAACACTTTACATGTTCACATTCGGCATATAGAATTGATTTAGCTATAGTTAAAGCTTTTATTTTCATCTCTTATTATTATGATTTTTATTACTATTTTAATTTCAAGCTTCTAAATTTCAAAAGTTAATCTATATTGAAATAATAAAAAAAAATATTTAATTGAGATTGTTTAAAACTTTTGAAAGACGTTTTTCATCAGTAAGTGCTTACTACATGTATTGACTGCCCCAGTTAAGTTCATTTAGGTCAACATCAGGTAAAAATTTAATGATGTAATAGTCCTAACTCCCTCACAACTCCCACTCATGAAAGAAGAGCATGACGAATTAATGAGTGATGATCATGAGAACTCGTAGGAAAAGAAACAGTCACTGTATTCGTAATACATACTTTTAGAAAAATCACAGATTCAAAGAAAATGTCTGCAATGCGATATTTATTCTTAGAAATTTAAAAGATGGTCTTTTTTATCGATTATCAAAGATTTCGTTAGCTGATTTTGAAGTGCCTGGTAATGTAAAAAAAAAAGTAATTTATTGGCAATTTTGTTTAATTAATAAATCTGTTTTGCTTAAATTGATATTACATGGTAAATAGATTTCGCGCCAATGTTTATGAAATGGTGCGATGAGCAACATGATAAGAGAGAAAATACCATCAGGCATGTGTAATACATCACTGTAGCTGGAGAAATTAAGTTATGATAAATCGTACTGTCAAAGTCATCTTTGTTCGTTCAACTATATACTGTCTAAGAGTGAAATAAGAATCGATTAAAGATAACAAAAAAAGTTGACCTAGGAGGGAACGATTTTCCGGAAAATGTCGCATTTCAATATAAATGTCCATTAGTTATATCTGAATTTTTCAAAATTGCAATTGAATCTAAAATCTTTAATTTTAAAATTAACCTTCAGAATTGATTTAAACAAATTTTAAACAGCCTTTTCCACCGAAAAGCACCAATTTTTGCCCTGTGGTTGAAATTAACAAACTGTAAAATTGTAATATCAGTCATTATAACATCCTCACAACGTCAGGGGTCACGTTGACTAAGGACCCCTAACGTTGTGAGGATGTCATTATAAGGACTGTCGCCAGGGTTCTGGAAAGGAATGTATGGGGAGGGTCTCTGCATGAGGTTTCCCCTCTTTGAGCCAGATGTTTTTTTTTTAAATAAATGGACATCATTTTAGTGGGTTCTTGAACGTTCTTAAAGTCGTTTAAATTTTCACATATTAAATAAACAAAAATCTAACAGCATTACTTTATAACAAATGAATTTTGGATTTACATAATTGTATTTTGTTTCCAAAAAAGGTATATTTCAAGATTTTTTTAAGGGGGTGCGATCGCACCCAACGCACCCCTTCCTCCATTGCCTTGATTAAGCTTTTTATATATACTAGTACAATGTTTATTTTATATATCTGCTGTTTGATCTTTTTTTACTACCTTAAAGGTCAACTGCTTATTAATTTTATTGATACAATTAAGAAACATAAATAAGAATAGTGAGTAAATGATTAAACTTTTGCTTTAAAAAACAGGATGTGTTTGTGAAACACTGATGCCCCCGTATGGCAGCTTATGGCGAAGGTTAAAGTTTCTCAAATGCAAGTCAAACTCCAGGTCAAGAGATCAAATGTTGGTACCCAAAGAAGGTCTTGTCTCAAGGAATATACTTGTGAAATATGAAAGCCCTAGCACCAACTGCTGAAAAGTTAT